TTCCTGTGTCCATAACACCCTCTCATTAACTCTCACTCTCTATCATAACAAAGAATATTAATGAGCCAAGCTTTTGAATTACAGCAGAAAATAAAGCTAGGGTTGGCTATTTTTGATGCTGATGCCAAAGCAATACCTGATTTTTGGTACAGAAAGTGACATATATGAACACATGTTCCTACAAAATGCTTTTTAAATGTAAAAGAACAGGCAAGCCTAAAGAATATTATGAGTTTTGATAAATAAGAATCTGACCAAAGATTTGCTAAACATGTCAAAAATTGTGATCATTGGTGCTATGGACACAATTCCTTGGGTAAGTTTTGACCAAGCAGCAAACTCTGGAGCTGAACAATTAAGCCGACATGGAAATGCCAAAAACTGCAGTTGCTAGATTGGCAACTTGATTCTGGCTCCAAAAGTGAGTCAATCCCCACGACCCCCATGTTAAAATGCCCAACTTTACAGCAGAAATTTACACATTTACAGCCTGATACAGCCTGGTCTCTATGGCTAATTTCCCCATTCATGACAACTGTGTGGGGGTGAATATTTAAAATAGCTCACCCGTTTAGCCTAAATGATATTAAAGGCTTAAAGTTATGCATCATTTAGGGCGTGGCTGCTTTGAGTGACAGGTGGGTGCTGTCACAGGAGTTTAGCTGCGTAGCTCGGGGAGTTACGCAGAGTCAGGCACTGCCAAGATGGCGACGGCAGGAGCCACCCCATTAAGTTTCACAATCAATTTTCAGAAACCTATGGGTGACGTCATGGAGACTATGTCCATGTTTTACACAGTCTATGGTTTCCACACACAGACCCAATCAACTACACAAGGTCTGGAGGCAGACATCTTCAAAGACTGAACATATGAATTAGTAGTTTGTACCCTACTATTCCCATTTGTTCTCATTCTCATTTGTTAGTTTTGTCTCACAAATGCTGACTTTATATATGTCCCCTCACCTGCACCTTTCTTCTTTACTTGGACTGGACTGTGTGCGCTGTTTTGCAAACAGTTATGGGAACTCAATGGGATCACACACTCAAAAATATCTTTTAGTCATTCAGCTAATTTTTTCATGTGCATGTCTGTCTTTTGAAAGGAATTCATGCGCGTTGTTCAGGTGTACATGTCCCGTGTGTCAGCACCATTGCAAAATGGAGAGAGCAAGCTTTGTGGTATTCGACATACTCCTGTAGGTTTTTAGCAGTAGCCTTGGGTTCTGTGAGTTTTAGACTGGAATAAATATCCGTGCTGCAATATTGTGGAAAATTACATAAAGATGTGAGGAAAGAATAACTTATAACAGTTTATTCAATGATCTACTCATTTTACAACATTGCTGGAGGGAAATTGAGTTTTAACAACAGCTTATTAACATCCTCAATCTATAATGTAATTGACCAAAATAACCTGTTCCTCAAAAAGCAACACTACAGTGCCACACCAGCTATCCAGCGAGACTATCCTGCATCCTTGTCTGCTCTCATAGAGAGCTCAGCCTTCCATTCATGTGAAAACCTGCCTATTAGCTCCTCCACATCAGACCAGTTAAAACAGGCTGCAGGGCAAGATAAAACCAGGAGGGAGAAACACAGTCAGCAATTAATTCATGAAGTAAACCACCAAGCACAAACAAAATATAGCAGCAACCAAAATGGAAAAAAGAAAAATAGAAGCAACAGAGATGAGCAGAAAGAGAGAGAGATTTGAGTCGCAGTACTATCTGAGGGGGCTGCATCTATTCCACATGAGTTAGTGCAACGTGAGAGCAGTCCAACAGTTATACAGCACCGATTGCTCCTGGTTGTGCCATAGACGTCTAGGTAAAACAAAGTGTTTGTGAGAGCCACACAAGCACTCCACTGTGATCTGAGTTTAAAATGACTATTACCTGGTCTGCGTCAACAATAACATACAGCCCAAGAGATATGTATAGCTTGTTCTGTAAATATGTTCACATCACCAAACAGCCAGCAGAAAAAAGCATGTGGCAGCAAAAGCCTAAATGAGCCTGATTTGACTGAATCGTTGCACATTTGCGTGCAGTAAAGAGCACAGATGACCAATTTGATGGTGTACTAGACTGTTACTTTTACAAATGCACGCTGCATTTTTGCATCAAACATGTGTGATATCACATGATTCAGCCAGTAAGCGTTTGAACTCAGGCACTTCACCCACAGGGCAGCGGAGGGTTAGTATCTCTATTGTCCCATGAATAATGGAGCGGGAGCCCAGCTGACTACCGACACACAGTATATAATGCTAGTCATCTCCAGGCCAACCCACACACACATGTCAACACAAGCGCTGGAGTGTTGGACACTCGTTATTGTGTGGTATGCTGGGAAACAGTTGGGAAAGGCAGAAGGATCATTACATGTGTGATGTAAAACTGGTTGCTTTGCAGGTGATTCAAAGTTTGTTTGGCCACGCAGAGATGATTTACCACAACCCAAAGAAAGATCTCCAATCCAAGGATCCCTTCAAGGACAGCTCTGTTCAAGTGCATTTTTTCAGAATTGCACCTTGTATTATTATGTATTATTGTTCAGCCTGTGCTGAAAAGACAAGACATTCAAGCTTTTATGTTCTAAAATAAATTAGGTTTTAAAACATGTCTGCTAGCAGATAGTGAAGAAACCCAGCGTGCAGGCAAATTGCCAGCAAAGAAAAGAATGTCTCCAGAATCTACAGAAAATGAATGGTCAACTATTTTTCATTAATCAATTAAAAGTCATTTAATAAGAAAACTTGTATTTGCTGCTTTTCTAGTTTGATATCCTTATAAATTAACTATCTTTGCATTTTGGACTATTAGTTTTACCCCCCCACCAAAAAGACATCATATTGAACTTTGCTAAATTGCAAGTAGCATTCCCCCCATTTTACTGAGTTATAACCTTACCTTTAGGTTTGATTATTAACTCCAATGTAATAACCAAACCGCCCTGCAACTACAAGGGGTGACATGAGGAGTGGCAGGGAGCAGTGCAATCTATAGCAGTGAGAGAGAGAGAGAGAGAGAGAGAGAGAGAGAGAGAGAGAGAGAGAGAGAGACCACCTTTCAAACTGGAAGGCTGGGTAAAAGCATCTACCTTGCTGAAGTGTCTGCAAGACCCTGGACCACACTTACAATCTCTGGGGATGCTAAAATATATATCATATTACATTACCCAAGGTGACACCAGCGCCTACAATGACAACACTACAGTGTCAATTCATTTTCTGCTGTGGGTCTGGAGCTGTCCGAGGTGCTGAAGCAAACTGTTATGTACTGTTTATGGTATCATTACACTACCTGATTATGTCATCGTTGTGCCCCAGGTAAAATTTCTGCTTGTGCTCCCGGGTGTTGTACACAACTCCCACACCGGCAACAAAATAGACTATTTCCTTGGCGGCGGTGTAGTACAGGTTGTTGCGGCACTGATGTCCCCGGTATCCGTACACCCACTCCAGTCTCAGGTGGCAGTTGGGAGCAGTCCTATCAGCCATGTCCGCACTTCCGTGTGTGTCTCTGTCTCTGTCACGTAGGTTTTCTGATATAGTGTCATTCACCAAAAAGGATTTATTTTAAGCCCATGTGTCCCATTAGTTCCGTTTGATTCCCACGAGTCCAGAGAGCGCGTTGAAATTGGGCATTTTTGAGGGTCATGTGAATTTAGAGTCTTGCTGTCCGATAAGATGAAAGCCCCCCTGTCTCTATTTAAGAAACAGGTCTCTAAGCTGCTGTTTTCATTGCGAGAATCTACTTGTATTTCTTCATCCCCGAGCTCGCGGTCCTCTTCGACACAGGTCAAAGCTCCTGTCAAATCCTACAAAGATGGAGCTGCCACTGTTATTCCGCAAGCACCGCCCACAAAGATGACGGATTGGCATGTCGTCCAATCAGATCCTTCAAGTCGTCTGGAACAGGAGGAGACAACTCCGTCACGGATATAAAAGTTATGCTAGGTTAATGTTTTAAAGTGGATCACAGAATTTGAATATAACATGAATTACATGTCTCTTATTGAAAATCTCATACTGCCTGTATTTCTGTTATCATTAAATATATGTTTTTATTGTATCTCTTTATTTTTAAATTCCCTTTTCATATTAGGCTACTTTTTTCAGTAGGCTTAGGCTACTTATTTATTTATTTATTCACTATAAACCTATTTAATGTGTATTTGCACATAATCCATCATGTATCTAGCTGCGGGAAAATGTCTGTAGACCTATGCTTGTTGATCCACTCTGGAAAGTAAATAATAATAATAATAATAATAATAATAATAATAAACCGGAATGTAATTTAACACCAGCAGCCTATATAGTTATAGCCAACAACTCAAACATTTCAACACTCAAGATTCTTTGAAGTCCCATATAAATTAGAGCTCTCTAAAGAAGACACAACAAAACAGATTTGTTTAATGACTTCATACACCATTCTGATGGAGTAAGGTAGAAGCTAAGATTTTATATTATCACAATAAGTACCAGAAAATACAACTAACTGTTAACTCATACATTTTATTAGGTCAGTTTAATTTCCATCTAAGTCCAAGTTTTCTAAATCTCTCCAATTTTTTTTAGTTATTCATTATTGAATATGGAAATTACATCTGTTAGGCTCTGGACTTATAGCTCTGGGTAAGATAAATATGCATTTTGCACTTTGTCTACTTATTAACTCATTCATTAATGAATTTTTTATTTAATTTTCAATTGAACTTGACTTTTTGTGTACTTTTTAATCTATCTAATCTTATTTTCATTCTTTGACTTTTATGACACAATTTATTTGATATATATAAGGATTATTCTTTTATTATAATAATTCAGTGGATGAAAAAAAAAAAACTACAGTACGATTTGTTAAGCGCCAATGTGTCCAAAACATGGCATATTTTATTTTTAGTTTCTTTAATTGAATATTCTTTTATTTTTATTTAGGAAATTACGGAAGTGAAGGACCGCCCTCCTCCGCCGTTGCCGAGCGACATAGGAAGCTTCGGTCGTCCCAGTTTTGCTGAACAGCTTGTTAGCTTGTTAACTTGTTAGCTTGTTAGCCGACTTTTACACCTATTTTGTTCCTACCATCGCAATGGAGGTGACGATGGACCCTTTGTTTCTTGCGTGGAGCTATTTCAGGAGGCGAAAGCTCCAGCAATGTTCAGATATTTGCTCAAAAATATTACAAGACAACCCGTACGACCAGGTACTGTGGCGTAGTTAGCCGTGCAAGCCTAGCATGCTAGCGATTATGCATTAAGGAAAGCTAGCGCGCAGAAGCGATACAACCTGGTGAATAATCCCGATTATTCCAATCCGTGTAGTTTATCATAATTTAATTTAGGGAACGTTGAATTTATTGGCACGTCATTGAATCAACATGTGTCCTAATTGTTGTTGGAACGCACTACTCGTCACTATATTGCATTTCTTTATCACATTTCCACTGTTTTCCGCTGCACCTGTCTCCATTCATGTTCTCCATTCTCCCATGTAGTCACATCTGTCCTCAACTTTCTTTTTCTCTTATTAACTCACTGCATGCTGTCTTAAGGAGTCATCCTTGCCTATCTCAGAGGTAACCATCCCTGCAGACAGTGCCTGTCTGTCATCCTTTTTCACGTGGATAAGTCAGTTCCTGACTGTAACCTGTTTAACTTTAACGTTACATCTGAGGCCATCTATATGATTGAAACGTTGTGTGTTTCATAGGCTGCATGGAGCTTAAAAACCCGTGCTCTTACAGAGATGGTATACATAGATGAAGTTGAGTTTGACCAGGAGGGGATTGCAGAGATGATGTTGGATGAGAGCTCTATTGCTCAAGTTGCACGTATGTTTCAACTCTTCTCAGTGCCTTTTAAGTTAATAAAATGAACAATTCATACATTTACTCAATTGTTAATTTGTTTGATTGATAAGACTTGACTTTCTTCCAGGACCTGGAACATCACTGAGGCTCCCTGGAACAAGTCAGGGTGGAGGTCCCACACCGGCTGTCAGGTACTGCCTGCCAGACATTGCTTTTATAATGCCTTGAAATTTGACCATTGATGACATTTTCAACAAAGCAAAAAATGTCTGATATGAGTTGTCTTTTTTGAATTCAAGGCCCATGACACAATCAGGGCGTCCTATCACAGGATTTGTGAGACCCAGCACGCAGTCAGGGCGTCCTGGGACAATGGAGCAGGCCATCAAGACCCCCCGCACTGCAAGCACTGCTCGTCCTGTCACTAGCGCCTCAGGCAGATTCATCCGCCTAGGAACAGTGAGTAAATATGCCTGTAATTGTATCAGCATGCAGCGACTGAGAGGCTCCATGTGAAAGGCAATACTTCCACCAGAGCTCTAGTATTTGAAACACAGAATGAAGTATCAGTTATCTTTCAAATTACTTAATTTCCAAAATGTGTGTTTCATTGGTCTATGTTTATAGTATTTACCCCTGTTTCTTTAGATATCAATATTCGTAGAACATTAACTTTAATCAATAAAAGCAATAAAAGCACCTGCTTATTTTTATTCTGAAAGGTTTAGCACAACATTTTGTTCCACTGTTTCTCCAGGCTTCTATGTTAACCAATCCAGATGGACCATTTATAAACTTGTCAAGACTAAATCTGGCCAAGTATTCCCAAAAGCCCAGTCTATCCAGGGTAAGACTGAGAGAGTAACTTGCAAAAATTAATCAAGATCATTTTTTTTTTCTCAAATGTCAAATAACTACTATTTCTCTTCTCAGACACTGTTTGAGTTTATCTTCCATCATGAAAATGATGTGAAAAATGTAAGTGTTAAATCATAAATCTACATTATAAACAGAATTGTTGCAGATTAAATTGTATGATTGTAAGATAACACAAACTTTGGATTTCTTGTCCAGGCTTTAGATTTGGCTGCTCAAGCTACTGAACATGCTCAGTTCAAAGACTGGTGGTGGAAAGTGCAGCTGGGGAAGTGCTACTATAGGCAAGTAACTCACAAAGATCCACATTGCTTGACATTGCTCAATATTTCTGACATTTAATAAAGTTGCATTCTTCTAATCTATGTAATGATTAATATCTCTGACCTTTGCAGGCTTGGTTTATATCGAGAAGCAGAAAAACAGTTTAGATCAGCTCTCAACCACCAAGAGGTGGTGGATACATATCTCTACCTTGCAAAGGTGTTGATAGAGACATTATAGCATTAAATCTCATTACCATATTGTACCAATACTCTTTCCATGAGCCAAATGTTTTCTAATAAATTATAACCTTGTGTGTATTCTCCCATAGGTTTATCAGCGCATGGACCAACCAATAACAGCACTCAACCTTTTCAAGCAAGGTCTGAACCACTTTCCTGGTGAGGTTACCCTTCTAACAGGAATCGCTCGCATACATGAGGTACAGTATGTCACCACGGTCCTTACTATAGAGTCCACTTAGTCCTCTCTCCAGCTACAACTGCCAAAATGAAATAGGAAACCACATGTATTGTTTGTCCTGTGATATTGTCACAGGAGATGAACAACATTTCATCAGCAACAGAGTACTACAAAGATGTCCTGAAGCAGGACAATACTCACGTGGAGGCTATAGCCTGTATAGGCAGCAATCACTTTTACACTGATCAGCCTGAGATCGCCCTGCGCTTCTACAGGTTAGCAAAGCTTTTATGTATAATTTATGTAATGTATTGTTACAGCATATGTAATGAGAAGTTATATCCCATCTGTGATTCAATAAGACTCTCCCTTTGCTAGACGACTCCTCCAGATGGGGGTGTATAACTGCCAGCTGTACAACAACCTGGGCCTGTGCTGCTTCTACGCACAGCAGTACGACATGACTCTGTCTTCATTTGAGAGGGCTCAGTCGCTGGTGGGCAACGATGAAGAGCAGGCTGATGTCTGGTACAACATAGGACATGTGGCTGTGGTGAGTTACCAAACGTCTGATGATTGGCTTACGGTTCAAATAAATTAAATATTGACTGTAGGCAAATAGAACTCACAAACTTACAACAAACAAATGGAAGTTGGTACAAAGTGTATGTGTTGTATGTTTACAGGGCATTGGGGACTTGACACTGGCCTACCAATGTTTCAAACTGGCTCTGGCTTTTAATAATGACCATGCTGAGGCCTACAATAATCTGGCTGTGCTGGAGCTGCGCAAAGGTCGTATTGAGCAGGTGAAGATCTTTATCATATAGCTTCTGTTCCACTGTTAAAATGTAAGATATGAGATCATATTGGTGTCCTTTTAGACCTTCATACGATGCAACACAGAGACATTATTTAAGAACCATTAGACTTATCATTATCATTAAACTTAAATGCAGCCTGTATTAATCAAAGGTTATTTCTCAAATACAGTCAGCACAGTATTGATTGCTTCAAAATGTCCCTACATTACAGTATTCATTTGAAGATTACACTTGCACGCCATAAATCCAACAAGCTATAAGGCACCAATTACACAAACCAAGAGCTAGGCGATAAATCAATTTTGCTTTAATATCATGAGATATAATGAGTTATATTGAATGAGACTGCAGTTATCCCACAGTACGAACTGTGTGCTTGTTCCCTGGGCTAAGTCTGACATGTAGCTCAATTCCTGCCATTAGCTTTATGTCACTGCTGCTGTGATGCTAACACTAACTGAAAAAAGTTCAGGAATAAGAAAGTTTTTAATAACCACTAGTAGTAGTAATCATAGTTGAAAATTAAAGATATTTAAGTTGCCTTAAAACTTTGATTGCTTCATACCGTGAAGGCTGTCAATGTACATTCAACAGATAATCACTAACAGCTGTAGTCCGTAAGCTTAACGTAAACAGATTTTGAAGAAGCACCTGCTCAGATGCAACCCTACTATATTATATACATTTTGATAAAATATTATCCTGTCAATAATGTTAATGGTTGTCCTATCTTTGATCCAGTCCAAAGCCTTCCTGCAGACTGCTGCATCACTGGCCCCTCACATGTATGAGCCACACTTCAACCTCTCCATTCTCTCTGAAAAGGTAAGTTATTAATCTGAACATCTAAACAGTAAACACAGTTAAAGACACAAATTCTAATCTTCATGATACAGTCTGCCAATGTGATGTATTTGTGCCCAGATTGGAGACCTTCAGAGCAGTTACACTGCGGCCCAAAAGTCTGAGGACTCCTTTCCCGAGCACGTCGACACTCAGCAGCTTCTCAAGCAACTTCGGCAGCACTTTGCAGCGCTGTGAGCATCCAGCCAGCATGCTTAGGAAGCTGGGTGTGGTTTGAACAATGTAGTTGACCAGTATTAGAGACACAGCAGTGCAGGCTCCAAAACACAATGTTATTAAAATGCTAAAAGGTTGGCAGGTTAGTCAGACATGGAAATCAATGGTATCAAATGGATTTAGTTTTGATTTGTGTTTATGTATGGTACATGTACACTAAATTGTCAATTATATCAGGTTGGCCTATAACATAGTGTAACAGAGCTGGTTGTTGTATCCTATTGGAGTCCTATGTGGTGCATTTTCAGATCAGCACACCAGAGTTGAATTTGGATGTAATTGGTCTCAATATGTCATGTCTTTTCATTTGCACCTTTTTGGCCATTCTCCCTTGACCTCTCTGATCCACAAACTGCAGACTCCCTGGTCACTGGTAGTTCATTTTTCAGTTTATCCTTGCATCAGCAGGGTTTGAAAAGGCCCAGATGAGAGCCATTTGAGAAGGGCTAGAACCAAAACGCCTAGCTCCAGTAGTTTAGTTAACATTTACATTTATTTAGAATATGTAATGATTAATGTCTGTGACATTTGCAAGATTAATGGTTTCCTGATAAACTGGTAACCTTGTGTACAGACCTATATAGCAGTAATACATTATGTACATAGTAATGGTAAATATTTTATTTATCACAGTATGATTAACTTACATTTTATAGTTCATTTCATAAAGCAGATGTATCTTTCGTATTTTAACCTTCCTTGATGTGACAATAAAAAGAACAATTCAGAACATGTGTAAAAGTCCCAAAAGCGGAGTTCTTCCACCAAACAATTAAATGAAAACTAAATAGTATATTTTAAGAAATCATATTAACTTGCAGACCTTGGTGTGATTTCACAAATCCATTTCAGTTCATGATTGCATGGAGCATCATTCCAGGCCTTAAAGGGGTTGATTTTAGGATACGTAGCTGCACAGTCTTCGTTGCCCTGGTTGTTGGGTTCTCCATCATTCCAGTACCTGAAACATATGAGATGTTACTTTGTTGAGTGTGCTGTGACAACAAGTTATCTCTTGCATGTTTTAATGTGTGACTGTTACCCCTCATTCAGTCTTGTTCCATCCAGCCATTTCCAAGTCCCCTCCTCCTCCACATCTCTCAATCCGATCCAGAAGCCACTGTAGACTGTGGGTCTCGAGGGGTCTTGATAATTATTTATCAAGTCACTTATTGCCAGCTGACAACACCGGGAGATTACACACACACACATACATGTTGTTCATTTATTTTGTTAGCTTCTATTTAGCACCGACCTATTTTACTGCTCAGAAATAACATAAAGCGTTTTTAAAGGAGTGTTGACTAACTGTTTAGTCTTACATGTTTCTCTCTGCTGTCTATCACTGCTATGTCGCCTCCTTGTCTCATGCAGAACTGTCTGGCTTCCTGCCATGATCTGCGCGAAAGAGCATCAGAGAAAGCGAAGAAGTAACACACTGAGTTCATGTAAGTCCATCCTGGTAGACAGTGTCTGCAGCCCTCCTCTGTTGCCCAAAAGAAATATGGAAACATGATGTGTTGTTAGCTGGGTCACAATAATTATGTGTTTATATCACAATAACACAGACAGTAAGAAAAAAAGCTCTCACTCATCATCGGCATGTGGGATTTCAATGCTGCAATTTCCATTCGAATTTTGTCAATCCGCTTTTCGTAGTCTTTGCTTCTTCTCTTCTGGTGTTCAAGCTCCCACTTGGTTAGTTGCTGCCCACTGATCTCTCTTGCCAACTGATTCTTGATTTCATCCCTGCGTTGGATTGCAGTGTTGTAAATAGCCTGCAATTTGGCCATCTCACTGCTTATGTCCGTTACTGCGTTCTGCCCAACAGTAAGTTTGCTATCTGTAAGTTGTGAAGACAGAGTTTTGTCTCAGTTTAAGTTTAAAAAAAAAAAAGCATAAAAAATTTCCACTTTTTACAGTACATACACTCTATAAATTACCTACAGTATACATTTTAAAAAGTCAAACATGGACACAGGAGTATGAGTAGATAAAAGTGAAATTGACGACGTTTATTTGTGAATATTATTGGTACACAAGCATTTGACATTTTCATAAATGTATTAATTATTTGACTGTATTCTTTTAAATGTTTTTGTCAGTGAGGATTGACTTTACATGCACAGCTATAGAAAGTTTTATTTATAGTATTTTATTATAATAGTGTACATGTAATTTTTGTCATTCAACGTTGGGTCACAGCATGGCACTACTGAGCTACAAGAGATACTGCATGTGTGGTGGCCCTGGTTAATGTAAGTCAGCGAGAACCAGAACTGACAGTGAACTACATACTGTGTTCCCACCAACACACACATTATACATTTATCAAAGTATAAACCTTTAACTGGTCTTACTTTTAAACTGTTTTTACTTTAGCCTACATTAACTTGCACTACTGATTTTTGTAATCGCTTGGGGGCAATGGAAACAAGCTGTAACAAAGAACTCACCAACTTATAAAGGTGACAAGGAAAACTTGTTAGGAAACAGTCGCTAGCAAACACAGAACAACATAAACATTCATTTGAAGTTGTATTTGTGTCCTCTTAATAAATGGAAGTCCAACATTCACTCTCTGTTAGCTCTGTTTTGGTCGCCAACAACTCCTGAGGCAAATATCTGGCTCTTTAGCTGCTGTTCACCAACTAGTTGCTGTCTGAATAGTTAACAGTTTATCAGACTTTAATGAAAACAAACATCATGGCTAGTAAACATGATGTTGCCAGCAGTGAGTGATCAAAATATAAAATGTGTGGGCCAGAAAGTATTATGGACGGATTAAAAGCTGAGGTAGGCAATTTATTTCAGAAACATCTTTCTTTAAATCCCGATACCAATCAGTAAGTCAAATGTTCTGACTCAAAAATGAATAAGATCCGGTGTTGCAGGACCGATAAGACTGATTAAGGACTGATTAATAAGCAGGGGGTGAGATTTTTTCAGCTAGATACTTTCAAAATTTAGCTGTCTCTTGCTTGTTCTCAAAAGTTGCCTGCCCCAGCTTTAATGATTAATGATCATCTTTTATGGGAGAAAAAAAATAAAACTAACAGATAACATAGAATATTGAAATGGCTAAAGGGGCCTTTAATGGTCTTAAGCAAAATGGTTGGAACAAGGTTAAAGAAACTCTAGCTAGTTATTTGCCTTAGAGAAATGAAACCGCAAAATAAATACTATTACTGCTATTAACAAAGTAATTTCCAACATTTTAGACATTTCAAAATATGTTTGTTCATTTTAAAGATACATATATATAATTTCAATTCTGAGATCAGTGATTGTGATAGATGTATTCAATCAATTGAACACTTTAATCTGAAATGTGCAAACAATCATGATGGGTTTTCTTTTGAATTTTATGTACTTTTTGGGGAGATCACTGAAAGTCCTTTTATTGGAATTATATAAATTGGATTTAATTAAAATATACAACGTTAGAAAAGAAATGTCTACAACTATGAAACAGGGTATTATAACTCCTATTCCCAAAACCTGATAAATATAATTTACTGCTAGAAAACTGGAGACCAATTACATTCCTAAACATAGATTCTCTCTTTGTGTTTAAAGAAAGGCTTTATGACCAACCATCACATAAGTGTACTTGTTCTTGGAATATCTTGATAACCTTTAAACTGATGCACATTTCATATTGGTTTGGGCAAAACTTTGTATCGACATTGGAAGTATTTTAAAGGAATATTCACAGCTGTGTCATGCTGTATCCAAACAGTACAAAACGATTTCCTGTTCTGAGATCACTTCGTCAAGGATGTCAAATTTCACATTTTTTTGTTTTTTGATCATGGTTGAATTACTTTCATTTCATGTTTTACATGATCCTGTTATTAAAGGTTTATGTATTTTCATAATAAATGTGTTAAATATCTAGGTAGCCTATTCATATGTGTAACTTCTTGGAGCGCCAACAACTTATTTTCTCCCCCAAACTGTAATACTTCAAAGCAAGGGGGTAGAACTTTGTTGGGACGGATATGTCACTGACCAATATCCAAAAACTACTGAATTGTTCATTGCAACAATTGTGATAAAACCTTTTTTAAATACAGTCTATGGATAAAACAAACTTTTCAGACTTTCAATTCACTTCACTTTACTTTCAACTTCTTATTCAAAGGCTTAAACATTAGTTTCAATATTATGAATTAACTATTTAACACCACAATGTTTTCACAATATTGTAAATCTAGGAGTTCTTTATGAGTTAACAGTGACTTACAATAGATTCCCATGCCAATATCAACTGCTAGAAGAATGGTAGCGAGTACGGCCAGGCTTACTGTGAGCACTTTGTAATGATTCAAACTGGATCCAGGTCTCACCATGGACATGGACACTACACAGAGAAGTGGGGGATCAAGATCAGAGCCATGAACTGTGTCATAATACAGTAACAATACAATATCATCAAAATTATATACAAATGGTTGAAAAACCTAAATAAATGAGACATATTTTTTCATTTAATTTGTCCCTTATCTGTATATTCTAAAGATGATATTGATGATCAATGTTTGAGCTAAACAGTGATTTAAAAAACAGATGCAACACATTCACTTAATGATTTGAGCAAAACAAGGATGCAAATTAAGAAAGATCCAGAAATTAGCACAGTGTGTTTCCAGTACTATATTAGAATCTGGTACCAGTATTAAAAAAACAGTATAACAATTTATACAGTTTATAAATATAATTTGATTTTTATCTACTGTACCTTGTTGTTTCTCTTGGTTTGGGTAAAGATGGTGCTCGTCTCCACTTAAGTCCTCTTGACTGATCAGTGCTTTATATGTCGGCCTACCATCAAAAGTCCGATCTGAATTTTCAAAACCCTCCATTTTGACCGTGATAATGAGAGCAGCCTGGTGTGTTTGTCCAGAAGAGATTATTTGTTAGGACATTGCCCTGTGTGTGTGTGTGTGTGTGTGTGTGTATGTGTGTGTGTTAGTGTTGTAGTCAAGACCGCCCAAACCGAGACAGACCAAGCAAGACTTTCAGGGGCTGAGAGCAGTCGAAACCAAGACCAGTTCCCTGCATTGCATGGCATGCAATAAAATGTGGAACGAGATCATACAGTAGGTAGCCTACTTCTCAGATTGATCTGAAAGATCCGCATTCCCATTGAAACACCCACATAAAACACTAAGAGCTGAAATCAAAATAAGCATCGCAGGGAGGGGTGACAGTCGTTAATTAGGGTTATTGGTTGCATTTGAAGCAATATCTTTTACTTCCAATCAAAGTTAGAATGTTAACAAATCAGACAATGCAAAAGCAATTTATTGATATTCCCAAAGTTATGGTCTTGACTTGTCTTAAAATGAAATCTCGAGTCCTCCGAGACCGAGACAAGACCGAGTGCAAATGCGGTCGAGTCCGAGACGAGACCAGGACCGGTCTCGAGTACTACTACTGTGTGTGCGTGTGTATGCGCACGTGCGTGTTTGAACCCTTGTCTGGATGCTGTGGCCTTTGTGTCTATGTTTGGATTATAGTTGGTAAAATATCAGACATGTTTCCATTCTGTCCAAAATAATGTCAATTTAGCACGTGCACTTAGAGAAGAGTGAATAATTAGATTAGAGTTAATTACATATAGCCTAGTTAGGATGTTTCCCCCCCATATTCTTGATATGCTGAGTCATACTTATGAAATACAGAATTCAAACGGCCTGCTATAATTGCAATGTACTTCTACTACTTATTCTGTATTACACCAATGCCACTTTCTATTCAGTCATACTAAAAACACAAAACACAGGTTTAGGTTTCAATTAATAGTTGGCCATTTATTTATTCTTTACAGATTAATAAAAAGCCATGTGGTCACTTTCACATAATTTGCTTGGTCTTTAAATAATCAACTTACCTCACAGCTGCAGACATGATGGCCTATTAAAAACATTCAGCCTTTAATTTATTACAGATTTATAAAGTATTCATTAATGATTTAATAACATTGATAAAGCTGCTCGTTGTATAACTATTATATTACTGCTTTTTACTATTATATTATCATATTACCTACTTACTTTAAGAAAGAGGTAACATTGGGGTATTGTCCTTACATTTGGTGGTAATACTTTTTAACTTCCCTGTTTAGCATTTATAAGCACTGTATGAACATCAAATATATGGTTTATTCACATTATAGTATGTGATGTGTGTAATAGTAACATGCATATTCACAATTAAAGATCTGATTTGGTAAATATTCTGTTTTTCATTACAGGAATAACTCTTTGTGCAAACAGCTAGGTTTGCACAAAGAGGCACATGCAGTAAAGACACACTATTAACTCATAGAAGTTGGTGCCTTTTCACAAATCCATTTGTGTTTCACTTCACATGAATTATCGTTCCAAGCCTTGAAGAAGTTTTCTTTGGGATACACCATTGCACAGTCCTCAGAGTTCACATCATTTGGTTCTCCATCGTTCCAGTACCTGGATCAAATGATAGGTTTCTTTACAGAGACACAGTACTTGCTTTCTCTCTGTCCACATTATCTTTTTTTTTTTCGATAGTCAGGCTAAAAATGAAATACTCTCTTAATCATCAGGAAATGCATGAGTGTGTAAGCAAGACTGATGCATGCATTTTCCTAACTTCCATGTTGACAAATGCATCTGTCCATTACACATTTGAATGCAAAACAATATGAATACACTTGCTTGTGATTGGTAATCCATTATAGTGTACAGCAGGTCTTCTTTTATGTTTGTTAAACTTACATTATTGCATCGCAATGCAGTTGAGCGCACAGGCTGTTAAGCAAACTCTTTGTTGATGCTTGTGGTCAGGGACAATGCATGCAAATACCCTCTTACTTGTGATATGAGCATCTGATTGTACAGTGCAGTATCATCATTTGTAGGAGTTTGCTTGTTATAGTCTTAGAAATCTTCACTGCATGACGTCTGACGGTATGCACTAGTAACTGACCCAGCAGCAGGACACTATGCTGATCATTTCCCACAAATACAACAACATGTAACATATTTAACTCTTACCCTTCAACCAGTCTTGTTCCATCCAACCATCTCCAAGTCCCTTCCTCGTGAACGTCTCTCAGTCCAATCCAGAAGCCCATATATTTTGAGGGGTCTTCATTGTGTCTCAAGTGATTTACAGTTGAGTTCTAACAAATAAGAACTATAAAAAGAATTAAAAGAAAAAACTTGTTGTAAAGAAATATGAACTGAATGTTGATAATTTACCTCTTTGTCTTTGGTGTCTATGACTGCAAGGTCACCTCCATGCATCTGGCAGAAATCTCTGGCTTTTTGCCATGTTTTGAGTCCAGCATAGTCAGAGAAAGAGAAGTAGTAACACAACGAGTTCATCAAAATCCATCCTGGTGGACAGTGTCTGCAGCCATCATCTGTTGCCAAAGAAAATAACAGTGAATAACACGATCATATAAAACAATAAAAACACATTATTATGCTTTTATATATATATATATATATATATATATATATATATACAATAATAGTAAAACAGGTCTCACTAATCATTGGTATGTGGGATCTCAGTGATGCAATGTCCTCAGTCATTTTAACAATCTGCACTTGGTAGTCTTGGCTTCTTTTTGTCTGGTGTTCAAGCTCCCAGTTGGTTGGTTTCTGACGATTCATCTCACTGTCCAGCTGCTTCTTGTAACCCGTCATGTTTTTGATTGCGGCTTTGTAATTATCCTGGAGTTTGATCATCTCATTGCTGATGCGTTCTGTATCATCAAGTTTGAGGTGGGTATCTTTGAGATTGTTGTCTGTAGGTGTAGGAGACAAACAGAGTTACTGTAGCAAAGTATTCTCTGTCTTTATCGCTCCCTTTCTCTCTCATTTCACTGACATGTTTATTTTATTTATGTATATTATATCCAACCCACAGTGTCAAGCTCCCATATGTGAATAAACAAAACCATAAGACTATTATTATGTTATATTATGGATTATGGGGTGGCATGGTGGTGCAGTGGTTAGCACTGTTGCCTCACAGCAAGAAGGTTGTGGGTTCAAACCCTGGTAAAAATTTACTACTTTAATTATAGTTAACTGCATATCTTGGGGTTTAGATCTGCTAGTTGAACAAAACAAGACATTTGATGACATCACCTTGGTCTCTAGGAATTGTCACACTTGTCTGATGTTAAACAAGTGACTAATCGATGAATTTAATAATGAAATAAAATCCATAGCTCTATAATTCCAATGACCACTGTACACAGTTTCATTGACTTACAGTGGACCCCGAGGCTGATATCAACTATTAATAGAACTGCAGCAAGTAGCGCCAGGCTCACCGCAGCCAGTCTGGTAGGTCTCCAAGATGTCATACTGGGCGTAGACACTAGATAGAGATAATGAATCAATAGAAAACTGGAAACTGTTTCAAATAAAGTTTTAAGTTACAATAGTTGAGCTTTACATAGCCTATGCATTATTATAACATTATAATTTTTTCAAATCATTCACTCAGTACTAACTCATACCAGGCATTTTTCATGTCTTTTTTTGTCATTTGTCATCATATTTCTAAATATTTTATCAGCACTATTTTAGAGCCTGATGCCACTTTTAAAGAATCAAAGTGAATCAGAAAACTGTTTCTGTAAGCGTATTGTGTTGACAATAACTTTTATCATACTATACCTTGTTGCCTGTCTTGGTTAAAGTTGGTGTAAGGGTGCTCCTCAGTGGTCATGTCCTCCTGGCAAATCAGTGTGTTAAATCCGCTATCACAATTACCACCTGAGATTACTCTCCTCTCCATTCTGACTGCTTAGCTGAGATCAGTCATATGAGACTGTGTTGATGCTTGAAGCTACCATTGCTGAGCTCATCAACAATCCATGATACATCAATTCCAGTTAAATCTGTGCCTTAGAAAAGAGAAGTGAAATTCTTATTAGTAGTTGATGTAACATTTTCTTTCTTCACATGTACAGGATATGATTATACTTAGAAATTTAAGAAATACCCAAGTTTACCATAGTTCAGAGTTAGTTCAGAATAAATGAGTATCACTATGGCTCTCTAGTTAACAACCTTGTCTTTGCTGATGTTTTTGAGACAGGTCAATGTTTATGGCTTTGTTTACCAAATCCCCCAAAAGCCCCACATTCTTGAAATCACGTTGTTAAAGTTTATGTAGTCTTTCTAGTACCATTAATCTTTCTTTAGTATCCTTTTCGAGACAATTCAGGCAGTGTATTGCGTATGTCTTGTTGTTCGACAGGACAAGATTGTCGTCTCCCTCTCTTTCTGAGGACCATTATGATGTCTGAGGGAGTGATTTCTTTTTTTACTTTGATTTGGCTCACATAGTTTACTTCAGTTTTGAGATTAACAGAAGGCTCCACACCTGGTGTCTCACTATTATGGCTGATTCCGATGGCATAGACATGACGCTTTCTTTCCTCACATAGCTTATTTATGGTTGAATGTAACAAGAAAAATAAGTATCATCTCCTGCAGAATTACAGCTTGCAGTGTGGATGGCTTTAATTGTTTTATTTAATTGTCAATAATAACATATTGAGCTGTACTTTATGTTGCATATTAGTAGCCTGCTTGGTAATGACTGCTGAAATACAATAATTTAAAATTCCCCGGAACAAAGTAACACAAATCTTGAAGGTGTCAAGTGTGTTTTCTGCTTGAGCAGTACTTCCTGAGTGTATGCAGTTTTTATCTTGACGGCATTTCACGTATCCAGTGGCAACTTCATTTGTACCAGATCTTAAATGGATTAGAGGAGGTGTAAACTGCAACCCCACAATTCTCTCCCTGGGGTCTTTAGTTACTGTATTTGGTTCTCCATCAATTCAGTATCTGAGAAAAATCTAGATCATTCAAAGAAATACTGTTGGTCCCTTTTGTTCAGTTATGACATGACATGAGTCATCAAGTGAAAACAATCAATAATATTTCAAAATGAATACAACATTAAAAGTACAATTCTGCAGGACTCGCCTATGTTCTACCTCAACTCCACTGTCAGTCCACCAATTCCAACCTCGCAGAGCCGTGGTTGCTACAGAGATAGTTCAGCTCACTGCTTTGTTGCAGCTCCCTTGGACACACTGAAACATGTGACCTGATGGTGGTGATGATGGAAGTGTGAACCTTAAAAGAACGGCTATAACATAGATGATTGTCAATAATATCATAGTGAGGTGTAGTTTATTCTGCAAAACCCTGCATATGTGAACTTTGTGCTAAGTGTTAGAATACATATATATAGTTAGAGTAATTTAAGGTGAAGAATGCCCAGAAACATGAAACCAATCTTCAATGTGTTTTATTTTATTTTTTGCAAACATAAGAGTTGCAAACATATTCTTGTGTTTTCTGCTTGCACTACTCCCTGATTCTAGATTGATGTCATTTCACATATCCAGTGCCTTTCTCTCTGGTGACAATTGGCATCAAAACGGGTCTTCCAGGGATTATCAGAGCTATAAACTGCAATCCCACAGTCTTCTCCCAGGTGTCCAACGTTGTTTGGTTCTCCATCCATCCAGTACCTTTGGAAAATCACAACATTCAAAAAAGCAACCAATAATAACCCATTGTTATAAAAGCATTAAGAATATAATACTGCTGCTCTTACCTTTGTTCCACCTCTGTGACATTATTAATCCAGACCCATGTCCCTTCTGTCTCTGTGTCAGTAAGACCAATCCAGAATCCGCTTTGCCAGACGTCGCGGCCACTTCTCATATTTTCAATGCTGTCACTCACAAATTTCTGTGTAAGCACACAAAGACATTTTCATAGGGCTCAAATGTAAAATTCAAATGTATAAATATTTATATTTAAACATTAGTATTGACATATTCTTAACAGTATTTTTTTTTGTTTTCAACCCACCTGTTCCTCCTGGTTATCGATCACAATCAGGTCGGCTCCACGACTAATACAGTCTGCTCTGCTATTTGGCCAGTTCTTTTTGACAGTAGAGGACTCAGTGTAAGAAAAGAAATAGCAGGATGAGTTAAGAAGAATCCACGTGGAGAGACATCTGCCACAAGTTCCCTCTAGGAGAAATAAAAAATATATCAATGACAGATTCTTTTCACTTTAGATGTTTTTCAGTACTTTCTCTAAACTATAATACAACTCTGTCTCACCCAGAGCCGATATATTGGACTGCAGAATTGTCTTCTCTGTTTGCAGCGCCTCAATCTTTCTATGATATTCATCATTGATGGTCTTGTGCTGCTCTATTTTCACCTTTAACTCTGCATGGTTTTGAATCGCTCTTTCTAACGCATTCTTGGCCTCCTCTTCGGCTTTGATCACATCGCTGTGGTTACTACGGAGATAGTTTAGCTCATTGATGAGCTTTGTTGCAGCTGAGTGGGTAACCTGGAGGGAACCCTCTTTGACTTTGGCACCTGTTGATGTGAAAATACACTGTCACAATGACAATGAGAACTGTGTCAAAACTGTGTAGTCAAAGACATATTTTTACTATATTGGACAATAAAATTGCGTATTGAAATTCATAGTTTTACGAAATAGAAATAGAAATAAAAAGTGTGTTGTGGCTTTGTACTGTTATGTTAAGAATTATGTAAGAAAAGTACATTTTCATCAAAAATTGTCTATTCAGCTATCTGATGAAAGCGAAATTTCACAGAAAGGGGAAAGGGGAAAGGGAAATGAAACTATCTGTCAAATGTCATAAGACTACTTACAGTTAATGCCAATAGCAACAGCAGCTATCAGCAAAATAGCGTTCAACAGACCCAGACACAGTATAACCAGTCGATCAGATCCTTCTCCACCTGTGAATATTGTAATTCAGAAAAAAATATACAAGTCAGTATGGGGCGATGAGTATGATGACTTTAAAGCTAAATCATTGAGGCTTGGTTATATAACTTTGCCTAATATATTATCTTCAGCAATGCTCATCATTCAATTACATTTAAATAATGGTAACATTAAATTACTTAAATTCACAGGTTCATTTCATGAGAGAAAGAGTGAAAAAAGAAAGCAGTGAGGGAAAAGTGGACAGATAGAAGAAACATGTCAGACACTAGAAGATATTAAAGTCATGCCTCGTCTGAAGATTTCGTAGCGAGAGCGAAAACGTCTATCAGTGTTGAAGAAAACTTGAGAAAACTCTGGTATAAATGTTGTTTTCTGCCTATCATCTGTCCTTCTTCCTGGATTATCCATTGTAGTGCTGCAGCTCTGTCCACTGATCTGTTTGCCTCCTTTTATATCTGTGAGGAGGAAAGTGTGTGAAAGTGAATCCACCCCTAAATAACCGTTCATCAATGGGTGATGTTTAGTTCATTGCAGATTTTTGCTTAAGAGAATTAAACATTGCGCAGAGAACTAACTGGGAACAATGGGTTGCATTTATTAATTTAAAAAGAGATGTATAAATATTTATGTGATGCTCAATTTTCACCTTTAGCTGTGCATGATTCTTAAGCGCCCATTTTGTGCCCAAAATGTTGTCAAAGATAAATCTTTACCATAGTGGACAATGAAATTGTTGAATGAAATTGTTTGTGTTTTTACAAAATTCAAGTAAAAAGTATTGTATATTTTTGCACTGTTTTGTTAAGAATTATGTGAAAATTTATATTTTTAGAAAATATTTTTTCAGAAATTTGCACAGATGTCTGTGAAAGTTTAAATTTAAAAGATATGATTATTTTTGTTGAAATAGTTGTAGATTTTGCATAAAATCTTGGGGTATTTTTTTTTATGAAAAATTGTCTACGCAGCTATCTGATGAAAATGAAATTGAAGAAGAAGACGGAAATGAAACTTTGAGTCAAATTTCCTCCTAGTCAGTACAGTTAATAACAACAGCAAAGACAATAATAACAGCAGACACAGTATAACCGGTTGCTTGTTAGGAACAGTGGATCGACCTGTAATTATAGAACATAAAAGTGTCAGGGGTGTGACCAGTAATCAAAGGCAGCCTGGAACAAGGAATGAAATAAAATATATTTTATTAATGAACAACAAAAGTAGATAGTCAGGGCTGATGGCAGGTGAGTGTGGGACTGGGTTAGGATGGGATCCAGGGTCTAGGGATTTGATGTTGGCAAGTTTCGTGGCTGGGTGGCAGGGCAGAGTGTTATGAGGTTCAGAGCATGTGGTCTGGTGACAATTCATAGGAAAATCCAATTAGTCGCAGTTTAAACAAACAGACAGGCAGACTCTCTAAACTAACAGGTTACTAGTTCAAGCAGACAAGTTGTCTGGCATGTGTTCATACTCAGAATGGTACAACAATCAGGCAGGACATACTCTTTCACATATATTACTTACCAGGTGTCACACCAGGGGTGTAATGTAATTAGAATATTTCAACAATAACTCAAAAATGTTCTTTATATTTTCCAATTTACCCCATAGTGTTATAGCCATGCCAATACATTGACAATGAAATGAAAATGAGTGGAATAATTTTTTTCTGTGGTCAAAACAATCAAAAACAACATCTGAAAAAAGATGTTGTTTTTCATTGTTTTGACTACAAAATAGTATAGGAACATAACTTTTCAAATTAATTAATGTCTTGGTTACTCAGTAAAATCCATAAAAATATTATTCTGGCTAATCTGAACTGTAAATCATCACTACATACACATTTTACATTGTAACAACTACAGACATACAACTTTAAAGATACAATGGTTGTACGTTTAGCATATACAAACCCCATCCCCAGAAAAGTTAGATATTTTTCAAAATGCAATAAAAACAAAAATATCTGTGATTTGTTAATTTGACAACTTTATCCCAACTTTATGCAATATCTCCACTTTTCTGGAAATGGAGTTTGTATTTGAAACGTATCTTCAGTAATACTCTTCATTCACCAAAATTTGAATCATGACAACATTTAATTTGAATCACAGGGTCAGAAAAAGAAAAAAAAGAGGGAAAACTTGAGGAAAAAGTAAGAAATGTTTCAGAGACTTCAGAAAACATTTCATATCTTATCCAAATATTTCATATCATGTGCGTAAAAGTCCATCTTTGCTGTAATTTTCCCTTCTCTGTGGATTCTCCATGTGCTGCAAGCACCGCCAACTGAATGGTTTGCCATATCTTATAACCAGAAGAGCTGAGTGCTTCCTTTTATCAGTGGGACAGCTGTAACAATCAAACTAAACTTGAGAATGGGGATTTGCAACAGCATTATTAAACATAATGTTTACACAGAAAAATCCACCCCGTTATTATTAAACACTCTTAATCAGTGCAGTTCAGTGTACTGTAGGAGATACTTTGTGAGAGGCATTAAGTGTTGCATTGAGTGAACAAGAGTTTTTTTTAACACAAATTGTCATTTGGAGGCACTTGCTGGAAAATAAATCTGACTCCCAAGTCAGTTATCCTGCAGGCTGCATGCTGCTAAATTCATGTTACACAACTCTTCCTTTGCGACCTGTAAGAAAGCATCACAACGCTGTACTGCAAGGCTTCATAGCAGCGAAGAATAGGTTCATCTTATCAGTGGTGATTTTAACTTATGCAATCAATAATTTTGTGTTTACATTATTATCAGTTGTACTCACAGGAAATCCCAATAATAATAGAAGTTAACATCAGAATAGTGTTTAGCAGTAACCCATGGACACAGTGGAAGACTTCTGGACCCAAATCTGACCGTGCACATACAGTAGATACTGAACAAACAGACACTTTGGTGTGAGCTCACACTGAACAACAGATCAGTCATGCTCCTGTATGTCTATGAGCTGTATTCCTGTATGGCGCAATGATTTTTCATCTGTGCTTAGGGGTGGCAGTGGGGCAGTGGATAAGACTATGCCTTTGTTGTGAGAGACACAGGTTCAATCCCCCACTGTGATCCATCCACCATTTTGTCCCTGAGCAAGACACTTAACCCCTAGTTGCTCCAGAAGCGTGTGACCTCTGACATGTATAGCAATTGTAATTCGCTTTGTATAAACGCATCAGCTAAATGTAATGTGCTGTTGTCATCATTTGAAATCGTGTCTAGATATCCCTCTGGTTGTCAGATTTTTACTCATGTCACTTTTATCTGTGTGAGGCAGCTGCTCTGTAAATATTACAAAACCGTCTGTGTGTCAGTGTGCGTACTTACTTGTGTTCCAGCTATCCCTCATTATATATGGAACAGTTTTCTTTTTTAGACAAATGGTACAACAAACAAAGCCAGACAAAGTTTTATTTAGTGGGTTCTAGTGTGGTGCCCACATGGGGAAAAGATACACTGCTCAAAAAAATAAGGGAACACTTAAACAACACAATGTAAGTCAATCACACTCCTGTGAAATCAAACTGTTCACTTAGGAAGCAACACTGATTGACATTCAATTTCACATGCTGTTGTGCAAATGGATTAGACAACAGGTGGAAATTACAGGCAATTAGCAAGACACCCCCAATCAAGGAGTGGTTCTGCAGGTGGTGACCACAGACCACTTCTCAGTTTCTATGCTTCCTGGCTGATGTTTTGGTCACTTTTGAATGCTGGCGGTGCTTTCACTCTAGTGGTAGCATGAGACGGAGTCTACAACCCTCACAAGTGGCTCAGGTAGTGCAGCTCATCCAGGATGGCACATCAATGTGAGCTGTGGCAAGAAGGTTTGCTGTGTCTGTCTGCGTAGTGTCCAGAGCATGGAGGCGCTACCAGGAGACAGGCCAGTACATCAGGAGACGTGGAGGAGGCTGTAGGAGGGCAACAACCCAGCAGCAGGACCGCTACCTCCGCCTTTGTGCAAGGAGGAGCAGGAGGAGCACTGCCAGAGCCCTGCAAAATGACCTCCAGTAGGCCATCATTTCTTGCTTCATCCACCAACGCCACGTTGCACCACAGACTGTCCAGGAGGTGGTGGATGCTTTAGTCCAGGTCTTGGAGGAGATCCCTCAGGAGACCATCCGCCACCTCATCAGGAGCATGCCCAGGCGTTGTAGGGAGGTCATACAGGCACGTGGAGGCCACACACACTACTGAGCCTCATTTTGACTTGTTTTAAGGACATTACATCAAAGTTGTATTGGCTTGTAATGTGGTTTTCCACTTTGATTTTGAGTGTGACTCCAAATCCAGACCTCCATGGGTTGATAAATTAGATTTCCATTGATAATTTTGGTGTGATTTTGTTGTCAGCACATTCAACTATGTAAAGAAAGGAGTATTTAATTCTATTCTTATTTCATTCATTCAGATCTAGGATGTGTTATTTTAGTGTTCCCTTTATTTTTTTGAGCAGTGTATAAACCAATGGGTGGTTGTGATGTACATCTGGAAATCTGAGTTTTGACCCCATGAGTTGTGGGAAACTTTGAGTGGACAGCCAACAGTTAACCAATGTTATCAAGAGTAAACTGTAGAAATCACTTATTGCACCCCCTGCTGCCCACTAATATAAGTGTTGCTTAGAAGGAGAGTCTTAATTTATTGTTCAAACTCAATATCATATGTAAAATTTGTGCAATGCTACACCAAAGTAGTACAGTCACAAAAATGTAATTCATTCACTCAACCTTTCTTCACATTATTTATTTTTATTATTACATAATTTATGTTTATTATTTACCTAGTAAGAGTGTACAGTCGTGTTAGTGTGCTAGCATGTTATAACTAAGCAGTAAAAAAAAAGCATAACAGAAAATACGAGAGCAGAAAATAAGAATAAAAACATTCATAATATTATCAAGTATTAATTAAAACCATCACTGCTGAAACATGTACAACCACTGTAAGATTAATAATCCCCTCAGTAAAGCCTCTAAACTGTCCGGGGATAGCAGAGTGTTGAGATTAAGATTAAGGATATCAAAGCACAGTACAATTGAGACATGCATTTTTTCAAGACAAGAGAAACTTGCAATAAATCCATATGGGAAATAGCTGGGTCTTCTCTACTCATGTAATGGTTTCCGAGCTTGTTGACATGGAGGCAACTTCTTTGAGACAAAAGTTTAGCCTTGATATGGACCACCATGCTCTCCACAGCTAGTTGGGTTCCATTTCACATAACCATTCCTTGTTCGTTTGGCAGCTTGCGTCATACCACGTTGCCATTGGGTTGTTAATATTCATAAGAGCCACACAGTGCTCACCCTCTGTTCCATAGTTGTTGGGCTCCCCTTGTATCCAGTACCTAAAGCAAGGCCATAGTTATGCTTTAACGTGTGTATGTGTGTGTGTCTTACATATTCTCCTATGTATGTCTTCTATTATATATCTTCTTTTTTGCATAAATTGTTGGGAAAATGAAAGGATTTGAATCAGTCAATAGATTGATGTTGTAGGCAGGTGTAATTAATATGTCACCATTTAACAATTTGATTTGTAATACACCAAAACTATTGTAATCACATCCATTTAAAAATTTCTTTAAAATGTTACTTAGTAAAAGTACAGGATGACACACCTCGTGGTTTATGGATATCTCATTTTACAACTATTCAGAAATCTATTTACAAAGTTCATGATCATTCTTGATTATGAAGGTTACATTAACTCATGATAGTAATGGAAAAGCTGGACATTTTGGGTATTACAATAATTTCCAATTTTTTAAATGATTTCCTGAGAGTTAATAAGAAGGTCGATTCCACTGTCATGGTTTAAACTAAATATGAAGCCACAGTCAGCAGGCAATTAGTGTAGCTTAGCATAAACACTAAAAGCCAGCCAACACTTCTAAAGCTCACTAATCAACACTTTATATCTGGTTTGTTTAAATTCGTACACAAACAGAAATGCAAAAACTCAAGTTGTGGTTTTACATGTTTCATGCTGTATTTTCTTGACCGGGCACAGTGACAGAGCCAGGCTAGCTGTTTCCACCAGCTTCTAGTCTATATAGTAGGCTAAGCTAATCACCTGCTGACTCTAGCTACATATTTACTGTACATGAAGTGTTATTGATTGTCTCATCCATCAACAAGAAAGCGAAAAATCGTATTTCCCAAAATGTCAAATGATTCATTTAACACATCAACATTGTATAGTAAGTCTTAAAGCTCATACCCTTTATCCAGAGTCACATTATTTAGCCACACCCAATGGCCCTCTGTCTGAATATCCGTAAGGCCAATCCAGATTCCCCCAGGCCTGCTCCACCACGGTCGAATGCTTGCATCCCGTTTTGGTAGGTACTCAAAAAGATTTAGCTAGGTAAACAGGGGTTAAACAGTATCACAAATTTTATTTAAAGGTAAATCTTCACCATATTTATTAGCAGTGCGGGCCTATCTAGCAAAAGATGAGATGCTGGGGGGAGCATGTCTAACAAAAACATTAGCTTCACATACCAGCCTAACATTATCTACAGCTCAGCCCTGCAGATCATTTCACATTTCAGGAAAAGCATGAATGTTATGGCTGCAATCTTGAGCAGGTTCCAGGCTCCTGGTGAGGCACATGCTGGCTCCCTGCCACTTATGTCACATTGTGGAAAAGAGCCATCATTAATGTTATTACACCTGTGCTTTACCTACTATGACAATTCAAAATGAGGTGAAGTCTTTACTCTCAGTCTCTTAGATTGAGTTATTAGTTTTTATCTTCTGAAGCTAGTAAGTGAACCTTGATTATCTTAGTTTGTGTAAAGATAAATGTAAAAACTTCATCAAGACAAACTTAAAGAATCATTTTTGAATGTGTCAATTAAGCATGACCAAGTTAAACCCAGCTCCAAAGGACTAGTCATATTATCTCTGACATTTTGGTTTTAGTATCAGAAATCACTTCTCTATGCTATAACTACTTCAGTTCCCTTAATTGCCTCCACATTTCCACTGTAAATGTTGACTGTGTTAGTAATCAGGCCAAATTAGCTGACCAAACTACAATAACTGGTTTTATAAACACTGCCATGAGTCGTGTCTCACAGTTTAAAAGCCTCTGCATTACTGTATCTGTTGTATAATAGCCCTTTTTCAAAGCAGACATTTTGACTTGTTATAGCAGGAAAAGCATGGGTGTTACTATTAACATTAATGACACAACGCAATACCAGGACCCTGAAACTGAAGCAGCTAAATTGAATTTATTACTTAAACTTGTTTTTCCTACTTTGACATGACAAAATATTTTCCATGAAAAAGACCTGTCAATTGAACATCAGATCCTTCAGCATTCAGCAGCAATGTGTATCACATCACCTCCATGCTCTGTGCATGTGCTTCTTTGTGAATGCTAGTAGAACAACACATATCTGTTGAGCTACTAGTAGTCAAAACTATCACACAGGGTACCTTTAAAGCTGCACAAATCAATGTTTTAAGAGCAAATACCCCTGTCTAGCCATCCTTACTCTCGAAGAAGGGCAACAACGGATAAAAGATACATTTTTCGATGATTTGGGGCGCTTACGGTTTCAGAGTGTAATTTACTGCTGTTGTTAATAAAGACAGTTGTCCACATGCATTTGGTGTGATTACATTACTTCTGATCAAAAACTAGCAAGTTGAATACTGAGCCTGGTTATGTTGCCCTCTCCGGCACGACGCCACTCTCCACCAGAAAAGTTACATCATGTTGCTCAGTCACTCACCACAAGCTATAAATCTCGAGTTGATGTTAGCAAAGTTACTAGATAACACACTCTGACATCTGTAACGTTGCTGTAAGTGCTCTTGCTGTCTAGCTTTGTAGGTTACTCCCTTTATCTCTTCCTCACTCCCTCAATGTCTTCTTTGGTCTCTTTGCAGCCTCTGCCATATAATCCATACTGAGAATACCGAGCTAGCTTCTTCCAAAGGACTTACAATGCACACTATATACTTGTTGCTTCTTCTTATACCTTGCTTGCTGAAGAGTTGTGTTGCTTTGTGACATGGTGCCGTAAAGCATTACAACATTGTCATGATAATTTTCCTGCCCGGGAATCCAATGTTAGCGCAATAACAGGTGCCCCGGGCCTGGAGTGCAATGACAGAGATGCTATTCACCCTATTACAAGTCAGTGTACCATCAAAATGATTTTGAAGCTGTTATATATATATATATATATATATATATATATATATATATATATAAGATAAGATTACCACATAATGCTGCTTTCAAACATCAAGATTAACTCTACCCACTCTATCATCTCTTGTTTTCCACCTACAGCATACTGAACTCACCTGCTCCTCCCAGGTATCAATCACAGTCAGATTGGCACCACGGCTGATACAGTCCGCCCTGCTGTCTGACCAGTTCTTTAAGGGATTGGATGCTGATTTAGAATGAAAGTAGCATGACGTGTTAAATAAAAACCATCCTGGCGGGCAGCGTCCACAACTTTCCACTGTTAAAGAAGAAAATTAGTTAAAGTCAAAACATGAAGAAAAGGTTTGATTCCAAAATGCATTACAAAGTGAACGCAAAGGTGTCTTACAAGTATCAGATTTGTCAGACTGCAGTTTTACTTTTTCCAGTTGTAGTGTCTCAAGCTGCCTCTGAATGTCGTCACTGAGTGTCTTGTTCTGTTCTAACTGCAGTTTTAGTTGCTGATGTTTCCTGAGCTCTTTCTTTAATGCTTGTTGGGCCTCTTCTTGAGCTTTGCTCGCTTCAGTTTGCATTATCTGAAGTTGCTTCACTTCTATGATTAGAGTCTGTGCTGTTATTTCATGGGGAGCGGATACCTCACTGACTTTGCCACCTGTGATAAGCAGAAATAAGAAAGTTACTTTTTAAATTAATCTTATAAGTGTTTTTTTGTATCTTCCAATTCATTGCACTGGGTATAGAAAGGGTAAATATAGTTAATTAAATAAGCTTGGTAAATATGGCCATAGCATAGTTAATGAATTGTTCAGTACAGTGTGCTGACTGACTCTAAACAACTGAAGTAGATATAAAACACCTTGGATCAGTTGTACTCACAGTAAATCCCAATAACAATAGCAGTTAACATCAGAATTGTGTTTAGCAGTCCTAAACACACGATAACCCATGGATACACTGGAAGCCTTCTGGACCCAACTCTGACTGTGCACATAGGTCCTGAACAAACAGACACTTTGATGTGAGCTCAAACTGAACAACAGATCAATCATACATTAGCTACATTTCATTTCAAGAGCAGTTTAAAAAACACAAGCCTACCTTTGCTTCTTATGTTAAGGTGTAATGATTTTCCATCTGTGCTGATATCATCATCTGAAATCATGTCTGGATATCCCTCTGGTCTTCAGGGTTTTACACAGAAATTCACTCAGAATGTCACTTTTATCTGTGTGAGGCAGCTGCTCTGTCAATATTACAAATCCGTGTGCGCGAGTGTCCTTGACTCCCCTTCACCCTCTCTTGCTTATGTGGAAATGTCTGCTGAAAGTCATTATTTTAGTGACCTATGACCTACTACAGACATAATGAGAAGTTAATTTAATGTACTTTACACATGAAACACCCTGATACACACTGATTTAGGCCTACAAAGTTTGTTGTGGTGGCCTCTAATGGACCACCCACATGGAGCAAAGGTCTAATCAGAAGGGTGGTTGATGGTGTGATGTATGTCTAGAAGCCTGGGTTGTGACCTACCAGTAGTTATTAGTAATATCCGTTTGTGATAGAAGACCAATGCAGGCAATGTTTTAAATCAGTGAGCTGGCCAGCTTTATGACTATATTGGATTTTGATATGATTTTTTTTGTATCAGTGTGATAACTTGGTACTCTGATTTGCCAGGTATGTGGCGGATCAGCCCAAAACACCTGTCTGGTTATCTCATCTATTAACAGTCTATCAAGTGATTTTCCAGAAAATGTTCTATACAGTGATGTTGTTATCTAAATGTAATATTATTCATAATAGGATTTTACACTTAGGTCTATTATACAACCCCTTACGGTAAAAGATGTTTAAATTGTCATAGCATTTGTAAAATTTGTGTCACACTACGCCACATATGTACTGATAATTTGGTATGAAATTAAAATTGTGAACTGAAAGGTGTGCACAGCTGTATGACATTTATAATTGCATAGCTTCTATGTGCATCACGTCCCTTATTTGAATTTATAGTCAGTAACGGTAGAGTAGAGACGTTTGAAAAAAGACTGATAGAAATGTAAAAGATTTTAAAAACTGCTAGCCAAGAAACCGTTTACTTTGACAGTTTCCGGGTATGAGCGCAAGGAAACGGTGATGGATGTGTTGCTGTCTCTTCAGTGTCAGACGAGGCCAATCGATTTCAAACATCCGTAACTTGTGTTTTTGTTATGCAGACTTCTTGAACCTATTTTGTGTCCATGTCCATGACCGCTCAGGGTTTTATTGTGCCAGTCGTCGCTGTAGTTTTCGTCATGTTAAACCAAGTCGAGCTAAAGAGAGAGACAGGACCGGAAACGCGCAATGTTGGCTTTCATCGTAAAGTACACCACGACACGCTTGAAGTTACGCCTTTTATTCTGAAACTTCAAAAAGTTGGCTGAACGTCCTCATTTTTGTTGTGTCATGCTTGACTGGTAGTTGCACGTATTTTGCTACGTTGTGTTTTTCTTACTTTGTCTACTTGGAGTGGCTTGAGGCATCTGGTAGCACACTACTAATACTTTTACAGGCCTCTTTGTTAGCCGACACGGGTAGCATGTTAGACGTGTGTACGGTTTTGTAGGAGTCTTTTAGAAAGTGTTGTCGTTGGGCCTGTTCGGGTTATTTCCATCACTGCCACTGGCGAACAAGTCCCTAAACAGAAATGTCACTGGAGGACTATGAAAGACACTTCGACTCGCTAAATTCAGATTTGGGTGGCGGGTCTGTGGTCAGTGAGCGTTTAGCGTCGGGAACATTTAATGGCGAAGAGGAGAAGTTGCATTACATTCCTATCCGGATCCTCGGGAGGGGGGCGTTTGGTGAAGCCACTCTGTACAGAAGAACAGAGGTAAGTTGGGTGCTAGACCCAGGAGCGCAGTTGTCTGTGTTCAAAAGGCACACATAATGCCGTGCAAAAATCTATTTCCTTCATGTAAGTTATGTTGAAAGTGTTTACCAACAACAACAGGGCTAGGAAAACGTGTCTTTTGCAACTTTATAAGGCCCCAACAACCTTTCCTTGCACAGACGTAAACATGGTTATCAGAAATGTCTTGTTAATGGTGCTAAATTACATCTTGTGGATTATTCAGATTTACTGTAGGCTACAGTATGTGTCTAGCTACTGAAATGCAAATTGTTCCTGTGATTTCCATGCCCTTGTGAGAAATTCCTGTGAGGGTAAGATACATTTCTTGATTCTTTGTCCTGTAATACATTTATTACAGCTTATCGGAGAAGATTTTGTCTGTGTCTGTCTATTCTGTAAGTAGGTAGATATGATCGTAGAGAAACTCAACCCTGTGCCCTGTGACACATCTGGATGCTGATTTGAGGCTCTTGTTAGTATTGTTTAATGAGATGTCCCATCTGGCTTCCCCAGGACAACTCTCTGGTGGTATGGAAAGAGGTGGACCTGAACTCGCTCTCCGAAAAGGAGCGCAGAGATGTCATGAATGAAATAAGCATCCTCTCCATCCTAGAGCACAACAACATTGTAGCCTACTTCAATCACTTCATGGATAAAAACTCCCTGCTCATTGAGCTTGAGTATTGCAATGGTAAGAAAACGCTTCAGTTTCAGTGTTCACTCTAAAGATGTGAATGAGATTTGTTAGAATGCTGTTCATGTGTAACAGAATGCTAAATGGCCTTCTCATCACAGGAGGAAATCTGTATGATAAAATCAATCAACAGAAGGGGAAACTCTTCAATGAGCAGGTATGCAACATTGCAGGGATTTATTTTATACAGACAAACTATTCTCTGTGACATTTTCACATTTTTAACGTGTTTCTTCAGGTGGTCATATGGTATCTGTACCAAATTGCCTCAGCAGTGTCTCACATTCACAAGGCTGGGATCTTACATAGGTAAGATTCTTTGCCTGTTTTCTTTCATGCTCTTGAGGCATCTGGCAGGTCACTTGACTTTTTATTTTTCTTTCCTTATAGTGGTTCTTTTTGGTAATGGAACAATGTTTTTTTTTTTCTTGCAGAGATATCAAAACTCTAAACATTTTCCTGACCAAGACTGACCTCATTAAGCTGGGCGACTATGGACTCGCAAAGAAGCTAGACTCTGAGTTTTCAATGGCAGAGACTGTAAGTTGTGAATGTTTTCCCCCCTAGCATCTTTAACCAGACTGGCTATGATTTAGCAAATATTAATTGAATGTTACACAGTGGTTAAATACTAACATAGTGGTAATGTAGGCTTGTGCATGCTCTTTTTTTATATTGCTTTATTATTTAGAGGTACAGTCAACATAATCCAGAGTATAGTGTTGTTTTTTAGTTTTTTTTAATTGTAATAATTTGTTGTCATCTTGGATGCTGCTGTTCTTTAATGACAATTAAGACGGTAGAGTTGATCACAGGTTATATGAGATTGTGAGTGAGACTTTCAGTTTACTTTGCAAATACTTATTATTTGAGGTATTGCACTACACAGTTCTATGTCATCACTCCTTCTCCATCATCTTGAGGTACATGTTTTACTAATTGTTTTTTCACACTTTTTCTTCCTCTGTAAATCCAGTGTGTGGGAACTCCATATTATATGTCACCTGAATTGTGCCAGGGAGCAAAGTACAACTTCAAATCAGACATCTGGGCAATGGGTTGTGTTCTTTTTGAAGTGCTAACTCTTACAAGAACATTTGATGCAACGGTGGGTTTGTTAACTTGCTAGAAATAGTTTTGATTATTTGCATTGAAATCGTATTTTTTGAACCAGAATTAATTCATTTTGCTGTTTGTATCCATAAGAACCCTCTGAATCTCTGCGTGAAAATAGTCCAGGGCAACTGGACCATGGATGTGAACTCGGATGTTTATTCGTCTGCATTGATCCAACTGGTATACGAGTGCCTCGATCAAGTGAGTGAGGGGAATAATCAGAAGAGTCTTGTTTCAGATTGTTAAGAAGCAAATGGATTGATGCCAGAGATAATACTGTGTGCAAAGAAAAAGCTGGTTGTGGTATTTTTGTGCAGGATCCTGCAAAGAGGCCTACAACTGAGCAGATTCTGGACCAGCCATTCATCTCCTGCTGTAGACAGTAAGTTGGTTGAAAGGGAAAATAGTGTTGTTTTCTTTATTTCCTTAAAAAAATATTTTACATTCTGTTGGATGCAGTGACGTCAAACACGCATGACCCGCTGACAACTTCATTCTTTGTTAGGGAGCTTGAAGAGCGTGTTGCCCTGTTAAATTCAGCAATAAAAAAACCAAAGTAAGTTTCACTTGTCACTCAGTTGTAAAAGTATGTTCCCTTAAGTAAGGTTTTTCCAGTGTATAACTGATTTGTTGTCCTGGCTGCACCACAGGCTGAGTACAGTGAGTGACACTCCAGTTGCTGTGGTGACTACACGCTCAAGGGAGGTGTACTTCTGGGGTGGAGGGAAGTTCACCCCCCAGAAAATGGACACGTTCAAAGGAGGCAGCAGTGCTCAACATGTGTGTGCAGGGGAGAGTCACTTTGCAGTGGTGACGGTGGAAAAGGAGCTGTATACCTGGGCTGTGAGTATTGAGCCATCACTCTGGGAGAGAGATACTGGATCCAGTTGTTCTTGTGCATTGCTACAAAGAACTTTCTCAACCTTGTCTTCAGAATGTCCAAGGTGGAGCCAAGATGGTGGGCCAGCTGGGGCACGGAGACCAGGCTTCATACCGGCAGCCAAAGAAGGTAGAGAAGCTGCAGGGGAAGGCCATCCGACAGGTGGCATGTGGGGCTGACTTCACTGCCTGTGTTACTGGTGAGTGAGGAAAGCTTCCTGCAAAAGCAGGAACTTGAGAAAAAAAAAAACTTTCTGTAAAGCCACACTTTTTTAACACTCTGGTGCTACTGCTTTTGCAGATGAGGACCAGATGTACATGTTTGGGTCCGACTATTACGGCTGCATTGGAGTGGAGGGTGAGCTCGGCGTGGAGATTTTGGAGCCAGTGCTTTTGAAGTTTTTCGAGGAGCGGCCTGTTCGCCAAGTTTCATGTGGAGACAACCACGTGGTGGTCCTGACTCAGAGTGGGGACATCTATTCCTGGGGCTGCGGAGAGTATGGTACATAGGGTTGATGCATTTACTGTTGTTTTCAGCTGATATCATTAGGCCTCTGCCAGGTTGATTTTGCTGTTATAACTGTAGCCAGCAGGTGGAGATACTGACACTCTTTAAATACAGTCATACTAAGAGTTCTCAGTCAAAATTGCTCTATTTTCCTGCTGCAGGACGTCTCGGCCTGGAATGTGAGGATGACTTCTCTTCTCCGATGCAAGTAAGATTTTGTTCCCTGTTCTGGTATACTCTTGACTATCTGTCAAGAGACTAAAGCTTTGCAGGAGCAAAGTGTTTTAAGCAATATGATAAATAAATAATAAAATTATTCCAAAAGTAATTTCTGTTTTCTGGTTTTCCCAGGTGGAGATACCTAAAGGTGCCACCATCTCCTCAGTGTCATGTGGCAGCGATGGAACCTTCTTTTTGACAGAAGCTGGCAAAGTCCTAGCGTGTGGAAACAATGAATTCAATAAGCTTGGTCTGAACCAGGGAGTCTCTGGTCTCAAAAATCACCCTGGAGAGGTACTGCGTTATACTTAAAGGAGGACAATAATAGAGATGTTTGGTGATGCAGCTATGTTTATATGTTTTTTTCCCCCTGTACACCACACTAGGGTTACCAGGGAATACCTTATACCACCACGCTGACCTTGGCAAAGCAGCTGTCGCGGTTCAAGATCCAGACCATATCTCCAGGAAAGACCCACACAGCTGCCATTGATGGTACTGCAAAACAAGGCTCTTATAGTGATTTGTCACCATTTCAAAGAAGTATTATTTCACATGATTTCTGGCTTTGCAGAACGTGGTCGTCTGATCACCTTTGGTTGCAACAAGTACGGACAGCAGGGTGTGAAGGACTTTAAGAAACACATGGGTGTCCAAGTCCTTGTCGGACCCTTTGGAGGGAAGATAGTGACCAAAGTCTCATGTGGAGACGGCTTCACCATTGCAGCCACTGAGGGTAAGAAGATGAATGGTCCTGTGGTGTATCTATGGCAATAATATGTATATATTTTGGATTTTATGTCCAGGTTTGCGGCAGTTTTATTTTTTCACAGACGCCACATCCCAAGACTTTTGTTCCAGAGGATAATATCACCATCTGTTTGTGTTTCTTGCAGACAATCAGATCTTTGCATGGGGAAACGCAGGAAATGGGCGACTTGGGATGCCTGCTGACAAGGGATTTGGCTCAGAGGTTTGCCCTGCCATGCCAAGGCCCATCTTTGGTTCCCTCCACCATGTACCGGACCTCTCTTGCCGTGGCTGGCATACCATTATCATAATGGGTTAGTAGCCAGGCTTAAAATGTATAATGGTGCAAGCAGCCAACTGTCTAATACGATTTTCTTCTTTGCAGAGAAAGTGCTGAACTCCAAGACTATTCGCTCTAACAGCAGTGGACTGTCAGTTGGAAGTGGTAAATACTTTTTTCTTCAGTTACTAATTTGTGTAGTGATTAATTTTCTTTGCTTGAATAGAATAAGAATAAGTCTACACTTATACATGCAATTCTATATTGTTTGTGTGTGCATCACTGTATGTGTGGATATATAGGACTGGGCCAGGAGGCATCTACATCAACAGTGGATCTAGACATAGAACCTGGTTCAGAGACAGAGTGTCGTGACAGGGGCCTTGGGGGTACACTGGAGGATAATACAGAGGAGTGCTTCATGGAGACCCCAATGATGTCAATGGCAAATCAGACTGGGGACAGCTCCTGCCCTCTCTGGCTTAGAAAGGTTTGTTACCATGAAAGCAACGACGAATAAGGAAATCTTTGTTTGAGTCATAAGACAGAAAAATCTGAATGTAGACTCACTGAGTTCTAATTTAGGGTGGTTTTCATCCAACAGGAGCTTGAAGACGCAGAGTACATCCCGATACCAGACTGTGAGCTACCCATTCCTGACCAGCTCTCTTCCATCTCAGAGAGCGTCACTCTACCTTATGAGGAGCTGAAAGAGCTAAAAGCTGTAGCAGCAGCAGTCAGCAGTAAGAAAGGCCTATCGGTAATGCCAAAATAGCTGTCCTTTGTACCACTCTAGACATGAATTACATACTCCAAATACTGCTGTTCATACTGTGTAATACTGCAATCCACTGTCTACACTCAATTTTTGACAGACTAAACGAATGAGCTGTGATAAAGTCAATGGACTGGAGGAGGGTGATGTCTGCAAAAAAGGAGAATTGGGTGCATGTTGCAAAGCAAGTAATGAAGTCACACAGGTATAAAATCTGCACACTCAACAGTGCAAAAAACATGATCTCATCAGTACATCCCATTGCCTCAGTATTTGACAGAAGAGCTTATTTTGCAGCTGCGAGAGACAGTCGCTCATCAAGACATAAGGATTCAGATGCTTGAGAAGCAGGTGAGACATTTTTCCCAAAAGCCACCTTCCCCTCCTCAGTGCAGATTTAAGCGCGAGTAACAGCATGCATTCCTGCCGTCTGTAGGTCGATGAGCAGCAGAAGGAGAATGAAAGGCTCTGGGCAGCAATCAGTCGTCTAACGCTACGGGAAGCAGGATGTGACAATAACGGAAACCATCACTCTGATCGTATGCCCGGGGATGGAGGAAGAAGAGGAGGCGGATTCACAAGCCATGGGGGCCGATCTGCTGGGGCCAGTGTTTGAGACTCAATCTGCAGATGTCCTGATCGTGGGAGAAGTGTCAAAACTCTTAGCAAATATTGAATTAAACAAGCTGGTTAGATGGGAAGTGGAGGCTGGGTTATAGGTGCAGCAGAGGGTGCAGCCTTGTGCCCATTCACAGTGGTTACATTACAGTATACATGTTTGACAGAGTGCCAAGTCACACGATTACATTTTATTTCATACGTAATACTGTATAATACCTTGCAAATGCACACTTGTGTTCACCTGAAATGTTGGCTGGATTCAACATGAAGCATCGGACCTTGACACCACAAGAGACGATCGTCATAGTGAGAATAGTGTTATTCTGCAATGTGAATGTTAAATCCATGTTTTGGTGGTATTATTGTTGACTACAAATGATGTCAGCATTCAGACTTCAGTCCTTAGTGCCTCAGATAATAGCTTATGCAAATAGGAAACCATTCACTAATACGTGCAAAGATTGCTGTTTCCTGTTCTCAGTTGTTGAGAGATGGGCAGCCAGTATGTTGTGCAGTTTGACTCATGTTAGCGCCATCTTCCAATGTGAAAACGTAACTTTCTTATATCACTTTATTTTTAGTTATTTTTATTTCATTTGATATTCGTAACAAGCTAAAGTGCCAAATACAAAATAGCGTCTAATACATTTTGGCCATATTTATCATGTTAGCTATTACAAACATATTCAAATTATTATGCAAGTATATGCTTTTTAAATTTGCATGTTTTATTGTGTGAAACACAAAACTACTGATTCATTTTTGTACTACTTTTAGTTACTTTTTCTTATTGCCTTTGACTTGGGAATTCTTGCTGGTGCAGCACATGTAGGTCTGTCTTCTTTATTGTGACATGTATGAACACTTGAACGGTTTTCTTTAAACGTGGAAAACATGGTCTGTAAAGCATATATAATATAGCTGACCTTGCAGCTATAATGTTATTGCATTTTGTAACAATTTTACCTGTCTTTGGTACTTTCTGAAATGTTATGCCATATTTTGCATCATTTGTGAAAGCAAATATGTATTTGCATTTAGTTTTTTGTTTGAAGCCCGTTTATTGTGTGTTATAACAAAAACGTGCGCGTGTACAACCTTTTGTCATAGTTATCTTAGAATGTGTTTACTTGTAGTCTGTGAACTGTCAGTGTCAACAGTAAAGTACAACACTGGCAGTAGTGCCTTAGCAAGCTATTGAAACCAAAATTAGTGCAACTATGACAATGCCGTGCCTAAGTTAAATTTGTTGTTTTTTTACAGTGTATTGACAGCGTTTAAAATACAGTTATTTTTCAAGCTAACCAAATATTGTACACACTGTTGTGCCATGCTTTGTGTAAAAGCCCTAAATAAAACTACCAGCTGTCTTTTGTTATATGTGTATAGTCAATATTTCCCACAATGTAAGCTACAACATACCCTAGCTGTTTGTATTTGTTCTATTTAACATGCACCGTCTTTGTAAAGAGCCAAAACTAATCATTGCTGTTCAGTTAATAGGAAATATATTCCAACAATGTAGACCTGGAGATGTATAACAAAATTCTAATAAGGGATTAAATCAAACTATTCAGAGACTACTAACAATAACGAGATTGTGATGGGTGACTTGGTGTGCTGACACCTGAGGATTGGTCCGTGTGTGGGTCCGTTCGGGTTGGCTCACTTGGACCATTTTGAAGTTCCAGCTGGGAGTCGACCCTCATGCAGATTTCTTGTGTTTGCCTTGTTGTTTTGTCTTAGGTTCATTTTCTTTACAACCTGAAGAAAAAAAAAAAGATACCATTTAAAAACAGTAAATACTCAAGATAATCAATTTAGCATTAGATTCCTTTAAAGTTGGGAACTAGGGAAAATGAATGACTGAAATTTAAACAGCAGTTGCCAAGATCCTGACTTTTAGTCTCCAGTGTCTGTCGAGACCAAACTATGCAATCCTACATTTCCCATTATGCAACCAATTACATATTTTCATTAGATTCCATTTGGCTAGTAAATGACTTGTCTTTAAAACCGCTTGTATCACATGCTCTAATACAAATTTGGGCCAACAATAACCCTTGTATCCACTATCATGTCATCAAGGTTAAAATTACTAAAATGACTTTGAGCTAAACTAATCATTAGACTTTGTAAATGTAAAGCTACCCTGTGGAGTTCTTAAAATTCTTTTTATGAAACGCATTCTTAAAAGCAATGCTCCATCCATAGTCAAAAACTCCACAGGGTACCTTTAATATAAATCTTTGTAAAATTGGAAGGGTGAAGAGCTGAAAATGTACTGGCTTACCTCTGGAGTCTCTGTTCTGCTGTGGGTTTTCCAGAACTCCTCAATGGCGGATCCCTTAGTCCTACTGATGTAGGAGTTAAAAACTTGACGATGTGATTGCTTCACCTTTTTACAGATTTGGACATGCTTCTCTATTCTTTCACTTGCAAACTTTCTGTTGCAGATTCTGCAAGGGAGAAGCTGGAGGTCGGTGTCTGTGCTGTCAGTAATCCTGAGCTCCGCCTGCTCTGGTCTGCTGGAATGATTAGAAACAGGTGGAAGCAGTAGTTCCCCAGCCAGTTTTCTTTCTGCACCTCTGTGGTTTTCTCTTGTAGCTCTGTGAGAGGTTTTCTGTTGACTCATTTGAGGCAAGTCTCGTTCATCGTCTGAACCATACATCTCCTTAAATGTCTCCCAGTATTTATTTTCTCTTGTCCAACCTTTATCGCCCATAGAGGTTGTATTTTGTTCTCTTCCTTTTGCTTTCTTTGTTGCATCCTGTGACTTTACACCTGTCACTCCCCAAATGCCGTTACCTTTTTCATCCCCTCCTTTTCTTTTGGTGTGCTCTTTCACATTTTCCCACCATGACAGGTTCAACCCTCCGCTCACTTCTTGCTCATCGACTTTGATATGATGAGTTCCTTTATGTCCTTTTCTTTGTGACTGCGCAACTTCTATTTCCCCTCTTTTCCACCTGGCCCCCTCTTCTTCATGCATATTTCTCATTATGTTTTCATTCCTCTGATCTTGCCTCCTCCTAAGTTGTTTAATATCCTCTTGTCTTTTTACTGGCATCATCATTTCTCTGTTTCTCACTGGGTATCTCATCTGGTGATCAGACAGACTAGTCTGAGCTATTCCCCTCTCTGCTCTGTTGTACCTCTCCTCCTCCCTTGTGTGGTCATCACCTGCAGCAGCGTAAACACTGTCTTTGTGGATTTTTTGCCTTATTTTTTCTTCAACCCTCCACAGCTTCTCCTGAAGCATGAGCTGTTTTGCATGGATTGCTCTGGCCATCTGCAGTTCTCCTCTGGGCAGACTGTGTGAGTCTTTTCTTGGATGCTGGGATCCAGTGGCCTCTCTGATACCATTTGAATGATGTTCTTGGGACGACAGAATGCCTTTAGTTTGTTTTGTGATAGTGATTTCCTCAAAATCATACAGATCAAGTGGGTCTTGTGTCCTGGGGTTGAGAGCACTTCTGTGGCTAACAGGCTTGTTTGGAAATGGCTGGTTTAATCCATCTGTTCTCCTACCAGGTACAGCACCATGTTGTTGTTGAGTATAGACCTTGTCATGGCTTTTTCCTGCAATGTTGGACTGCCCTTGAGGACTGTGTCTTCTTCTTGTGTGCTCATGACTTCTGTTGTTAAAGATCGTTTCTTCGAGGTTGTAATGTTGTTCCATAGATCTTTGCGAAGGACACCTGAGCCCTCCAGACCACCCGCTGTGTTTTTTCCTCCTGTATTTCAAAAAAGAAAAATCAAGCAGAAAAATTGTACGCTTCGTAGAGAAAAAGGCTCCGAGAACAAATCTCGCATCTGCAGCATCTGATCATTTGTATAAAATTACAGCACAGGTGTGACTGAATATTTGCCATGTAATTAGTCTCTATTCTAAATGTAGAAAAAAAATAAGTCAGAACAACTAACAGCCTAGTAAGAAAGGCATGTGCAACAAATACAAATTGTACAAGCCCTTAGTTTGAACTTGACAGTCAGCTCATTCTTGACTTTGAAAACAGTAGTTGACAACTCTAGGTCTTCTTACTTTTTCTTTAGCTTTCGACCAAATAAGCAGATGAAGTTTGTTGATGTGATTTGGTAAAAAGCTCCAAAATATGCAGGTAAGTGGACCTTGAGTATAGAGTGGTTTGTCAGCTGCTAGTTTTAAGATCAAGAATGAACTGTCAAGCTCACCAACACAGAAACTTTTCACATCTATGGTTCAATGACAAATGAGCTACTTATAATGTGCTAATGAAGACCATGGTGGAAAACTCTAGAGCAAGCAAGTACCTAAGTGGATCTTGAGGTGGGACTTTTTTTTTTTTTTTTTTTTTGCAAAGCGATCTGTAACATTGTTAAGAAAAATGCTATTTAATAAAGTTTATAATCACATTATTATTATCAAAACAGGCAAGAGGTTAACGTTAGAAACATCTGCAATATAATACTCTGACAAAACAATGCTGACATGGCATTTCTTGTGTTTCTTCGATAACATTTGCTAATCAAATTGAGGTAAACCTTAGAAAATAATTTGCGAGCTATTATCTACTTGTACGGTTGACAAAGTCCCCCCAAACCCCGTCTAGAATTTGAAAAACTTACTGGCTTTGTATGTCGTCTGAATTAAAAGTAAAGTTGAGTTTAGCTAGTTATATAAATAAATAGCCATACTAACACCTCGCAACTCCTTTCTCCTGTCCCAACGTTTACATTCGTTGCTTAGAAACCGGAGTGTCTCGGCTGTTCTCTAATTGGTCCGTTGAACATCACTTCCTGAAGCAGAGTCCCGTATGTTTTAAAATCGAGAGCCTTCGGAGCTGAATGGTCCTCCAAGGGCTTCATCAAACCATTAAAGGTGAATTACATGGCTGACAGCAAGCTATCATGTTTCCATGCATGCTTGAATGCGTAGCTAAACGTTTTAATTATCCAGGTTTCAAATCGTTTTAAGATAAATACATTGTTAGCATAGCTTGTAGTAAGTTAGCTGTAATTTAACGTAGTCCGTGCATGCATGATGATGTATCTAACATACGCAACACAGCACCCAAGTAATGTTGCTGTCTCATTTCTCCTTTTCTAGGTCCGCCATGTCCAACGAAGACGTAATTTCAGTGGATTATGAAATTTTTGGCAGAGTGCAAGGTGTATTTTTTCGGAAGTACACTCAAGTGAGTTTGACAATGGTATAATTTGCCTACGCATGAGCAGCGTGGCCAGTTTAAAAGTCGTTTTAGTTTCACAAGAAGATGTAATCTCAAGGTTCACTCACTAATTTTTTCTGGAGCTTTCAACCGCATCTCATGTTCTTGCGGATGGAATTCATACTCCTCATTGAATTTAATGATCATTCATGGATGATCATTAAAAAGACTGCGAAATGTAACTTAGTTAAAAGCTCATGAGAAGTTAGTAAGTGGACCTTGAATCAGATGCCTAAGAGATCATGATCATGTTATATGATCACATAGACAGATAAAATTATGCCAAGACAGCCTAATATTGCACAGACTACAATGAATAACTAATAAAGGTCTGTGACTGTCGTACATTTATTAATCTCTGGAATTGTGGGGGGAAACTGTAAAATTTCCCAATACAACTATCTCTGAACTATCTCTTTAACCAAATCACACACATTTAGGCTATTCTATATGCCCTTTTAATAATAATTGTGACAACAAATGTAAAAAATTTTTTTTTACTGAGCTTCCCATGAAACTGTTTGGAACCCCTCTGGGGTGGCCCTCCTCCCACTTTGAAAACCTCAGCTAGGCTATAATAGACTATATAATGCTTAGATATCTAACTTAACAGTGTTCAGTGACTATCCTGAAAATGTATCTAACTGATATTCCCTTCCCAGTATCCCATCACAGCCATATTCTCATTCGGTGGCCTGCCTCTGCTATCTTCTAAGCTGCAGTGTTTCATTTTCCAGGCACAAGGGAAAAAGCTTGGCCTAGTTGGATGGGTCCAAAACACAGGCGCAGGAACTGTTCAGGGGCAGCTACAAGGCCCTCGCAGCAAGGTGAATGAAATGCAAGAATGGCTGAAATCCACCGGGAGCCCCAAGTCACACATAACCAAGGCGGAGTTCAAGAACGAGAAAACAATCGATAGCCTAGAACACTCATCTTTTAACGTAGTAAAGTAATAGAACCCATAGATTGTGTCTGTAATAATAACTTTGAGACGGATTTATTTATTTAGTCTTTTTTAATGGTTGGAATTCAACTCATCATTCATTGGAAAAGTATGTGAATGTTAGGTGTCCTTAACATTGACAATATATGGAAATACATGAATAAATGAAAATTTCCTTTCAGAAGGCTTCACATTGTTTGATTTTTATTGTAGTATTAGCAAAAAGGCTACATCACCTATGATACAGACAACCTGGTTGTCAGAGACCTGGGGCCGGTTTCACAAAGCTATTTTAGACCGGTCTATAGCGCAAGACTAGTCTAAAATTTGCTCATAGGCTAGTCTAATGCAAGTTAGACTGTTTCACAAAAACATAGACTGCCTAAGTTTAGACCAAAAAAATTTGAAACCTCACCCCCTGTCTAAGATTCTATGTTACCATGTTAACCACCCGTAACAATCAGTTATATTACAAACTATCAAAAAAAGGGAAAATGTCTCATAATTTGTGGTTTGCAGCTTATATTATGGAGAGAGCTATGAGAAGAGTTTTTAGGGGCCGCAGTAACCTACTAGAAATATACAACAATGAGGACTTCATTGGTCGGTTTCATTTACAAAAGGAAGCTATCCTGAGTCTGACAGACGAATTAGCTGAAGTACTGTACTCCTACCATTTTAGGATATTTCCTCTTAAATATTTATTTTTTTCATGTACCATGTTCTTGGATCTTTTCTCAGTATATCTTTAATGCACTGCTCAACGGTGGGGTTAATGCTCTTTACTGTTGTTGCAATTTTCTTCAAAATCAAGCATTTCTTTTTGTTACTACACTCTTGGCTAAACTTTCCAAGAAAAATGTCCTTATAATTATTAAACTGCTTCACCAAACAAAAGTGGTTGGTCAACTGCCATTTTAATGGTTTATTTTTAAATTTTCAATTAAAATTGTGAAAAAGTGTCTTATTTTTCCCAGAATTCATTGCAGTGTAGTCCTAAGATAGTCAGGGTCTTCAGAGCTTTGTGCAATGGTCTGATTTAGATGTCTATCTGAAGACTGACTATTTTACTATATCTAAGTCATAGTCAAAGTCTGTCTTTGTGAAACCGGCCCCTGGACTAGAACATTGAGAGGACCTTGGTTGAGTGGTTATCAGAGGTGACCACATTATTTAACAGAGACGGTTAACAGGCTGAAAATGCGTTTGAAGAAGACATTTGTAAACAAACATCCTGCTGAGAAACCAGGCAATGGTATGACCTTGAAATCAGTCACTGCTCTCTTCATGTGCCTCCGCTAAGAGTAACTGAAGGATTCCGAGGGGTGCCTGATGAATGACACTCAGCAGAGTGCTGCTGCCCTCCTTTGGCAAGGAGTGAGCTCTGCCGATGGATGCAGAGGAAGACTGACAAAATAGCCAAATCAATTTATCCTCAATGTGTGTTATTTCATTTCATACTCGTGAAGACGTAAACTACACTTGCCAAGAGGTACAGAGGGATGAAGAGGGAAGAAGAGGTGATATACACAAGGTAAAGACGGGCTTACACATATTAATGGGCAAACAGAACTTAGAAAATGTAATGGGATTGGATATTTTTTGTGCGTTTCACTTGATGCGACGCTGCATAGCGCTGATTTAACGTGATGCATGCTGCTGGTTAGAAATTGTGTCCGACTTTCACCGGCGCTGCAAAACGTCACCATAAAGTAATCTAAAAATGTTACAATTCAGAAGTGACTTAACAAAATACACATTACGATATACAAACATATAATACGTAGACAAAATACAATAGAGTTTTGACTGGGGAAGCTTGGCCCTATAGGTTTTTATATAGAGAAAGAGGACCAGATGTTCACAGTTTTAACCGCCTTTTTGTTGTTGGAGCCGGAAGTCAGATTAATATAATGTACAACTTCATGGAGTAAAAGTACAAAATTTGTGCTGAATTCACATTTATGAATGAGGAATTTTGAATTAATAAGCTCACATAGCTAGAGTGTGTCCGACTCATAGACTGTATAAAGGTCCGAATTGACGGCGCAATTGCTATTCCCCGCCCCTGCAGTCGCCTGCAGCTCCCGTGATCAAGTCATCTTGAACGCACCTACTGACTGGCCTATGTAGGAAAGACAGAGCAGTGCAGACAAAATATAAGATGGAATCTGAATAAATAACAATGAAGAACATTTCCTAGGCTCTACGAATTAGCATTAGGTGAGAATGCACTTGTATAAATTTACCAAATTTAACTTAAAAACACGAGGACAATGCAATGACAGTTAATAAAATACAAAACTGCACCAGAGGCTTCTAACACATGAGATAACACACTCCGTACAATAGGTGTCGGTATGCACATTAAAAGCTGGTTGCCAACGATAAAGAAGAAGACGACGGTTGAAGCTGGCCTACACAGCACAAGATGGCGCTGTTAGCTTTGGCTGTTAACTGCTACGGTCATCTCTTGTTGCTTCACGTTGACTGTAAACTGCTGCTCCGCTTGATTTGAGCAAGTTTTTCGATGGTTCACATTAATTTTGTAATTTAAATAACTGTGTAACCCGGCTTTTTTATGTGTCGCGGTCAAAAGGCCTGTTGAACTAATGGAACTAACGTTATCTTTGGACGTTAGCCAGCAACGGCTAACGTTAGTTTTAAGCCAGTTTACTATATTATTAACTTAACTTGCTGTGTAGTCGATCAGGATAGATAAGACACTAAACAAGAATAAGAGCTTACTTTAATGAACACTATGATTAAGTGTTTGCCTAAAGAGGTTCAGGGGAAACTTCGCTCCGGTGTCGCTATCCCCTCACTTCAGCAGTGCGTAGAGGAGCTTATTCTAAACAGCATCGATGCCGAGGCGACCTGTGTGGGAGTCAGGATGGACATGGAGGCGTTCAAAGTTCAGGTAATCGACAACGGGACTGGGTTGACTGCTGAAGATATGGAGTGCGTGGGAAACAGATACTACACAAGCAAATGCAGCACAGTTGAAGACCTGGACAACCTCAGTTCGTATGGTTTCCGGGGAGAAGCCCTGGCGAGTATAGTTTGTCTAGCCACACTTGTTGAAATCTCATCCCGGACCAGATCATCAGTGAAAACTCACGTCAAAATATTCAATGATGGCAGGGGCATGGATGTGTTTGAAGCAGAGACTACTCGTCCCTCTGCAGGGACAACTGTTGTCATTTGCAACTTCTTCCACAACATGCCAGTCCGGAGGAAGAGGATGGATGCTGTCCTGGAGGCTGAGAGAATCAGACACAGAGTGGAGGCTATTTCTCTGATGCATCCCTCTGTGTCTTTCACCCTGAAGAATGACTGCACAGGAGCCATGACAGTGCAGCTTTCTAAAGCTAGAAACACCTACCACAGGTTTGTTCAGATACACAGCCTCGGGCGAGCGCAGAAACTTGGAGAAATCAGCTACACGCACAGACAGTTTGAAGTGGTCGGTTACATTGGCAGAGAAGGCCACTACAGCAACAGCTTACAGTTCCTGTACGTCAATGATAGACTGCTCCTGAAAACACGCATACACAAGCTGCTGAACTTTCTCCTACGCAGAATCAGCAGTTCAAATAAGAAAAATGACAGTCCAGAGTGGCAGTCAGCCGTCAGGAGTCCAAAGCACAAACGAAGCCAAGAGCTGCACGGAGTATACATCATCAACATCAAATGCTCTTACTCAGAATATGACATATGTCTTGAGCCTGCCAAAACTCTAATAGAGTTCAAAGATTGGGATGGCATTTTGCTCTGTATAGAAGAGGCAGTGAAAGCTTTCCTGAGCAGGGAGAACTTGGTGGCTGTACTTTCTCAAGATGACTTGGACTATGTATCTCCTAGATTGTTTGGCACTCACAATACAGACCAAGAAGGGCACAACGGTGGTACTGATGGCCAAGCACCATGCAGTGCCTCCACACAAGACTGCAGTGTTGGCATGAAACTGGCATCTGCCTCAGTTCATCGTAAGCGCAAAGAGGACTGTGTATGTGAGGACTGTGTATGTGAGGAAAGCGTTTGCCCGGAGTCTGGTCCGATGGAGTGCGAAAAAGGGATCGAACTGAGGCAGGAAAAGATAACCGCAAATGAGTTGGAAAAGATAAAAGGTGAAGGAAGTGTAAGCAAAGACTGTAGAGATGAGTCACTGTGTGATCTGGCTGGACTGGAACCTGTATCTCATAACATTACTGAAGAAGAGGAGCCCACGTTCAGTGAAGCTGATGAAGGCTCTCAAATTTTCTGTATGTCAAGTTCAGTGAGACAACTAGAAAGTGAAAAACTGGAGCTTCCAAAAGAAAGAGAGATACGATTAAACAAAACTTCCTCAACCAGCAATGTAACTTCACTAGATAACATCACTCAACATATTCAGCCTGATTTAAACAGTATTGCAGAGCAAATAATACATGATGGCCAGGGTACAGGGGGACATGGACAGACTTTAGTAAGTAACAGAAAGATTAGTCTGTCCAATCCATACATTCATGAAAGTCTGCATCCACAGAACCGTTCCCAAATCAACAAGTCAGCATTTCAGCATCACGTTTTAGCACAGAAATGTAAAGAGAGATGCTTTGCCAAAAAATGCAAAATCTCACTGGATGCAGATGATGACAGGTCTTGTCAGATGCTATACAAAGACGTTGCTCCTGTTATTCCTTCAAGGATTCCCAGACTTGTAACTTGTCAAAAGTTGTTTTTATGCAAGGAGTTTGGATCTCTTGAGAAGTTTAGAAAAGTATATGGTAAATCTGATGAACCGAAATTACCCTCCCGAGAGACTAAGCAAGACAATGACGCTAGACTTGCTCAGACAGACAGCTTTGTTTTAAATTCCCAGAATTTGTTGTTTTGCCAAAAAGATCGGCAAGATGGTGATTTTACAGAAACACAAAAAGAAGAGACAAGAAGCAGCCTCCGAAGCTCACCAACCCTCTCAGTTTTCACCAAATTAAAACCAGTCTCAGGGCAGAATAGAGGAAAAACATCTTTGGCGGCTAAACTCTGCCATTTAAAACAACACAGGACAGATGATTCAAAACTATTACCCCATCTGCCATGGACTACCTCACAGGACAATACAGCTCTCAGGAATGCTAATGACGGCATCAAAGACAGCAATAACAATGAGAATCATTGTGACACTGCGCTGAATCCAGAGCCAGTC